GACCTAGTATTCACTTAAATATCAGGTCAACAAATTAGTTGACTGTAAAGCAAAGAAAAATATATAAGGTATATCTGAAGAACACACATTATGCAAAATTGACTTTTTTGAATGGCATTCACTGGAGATTAGTTTACTTTCCAATTTGTCATTCTTATTGCTGACAGCAGAGGGAGCTCTAATGAATCAGTCATTGAAACAGAGATGTAGTTTATATATAAATATCTAAAGAAGTATATTTTACTAATGCAAACATTATTTTACTTAGAAATAAATATTATTCTCACTGTCAATGTGACAAAATCTGTGTTTAAAAGGGAATTAAAGTCTATGTGGTTTTTTTAAGAAATGCTAAAATGTATTGACCCTAAAAGATACAGTGCCACTTGAAGCTGAATAACAAAGAATACACAGAATTCTACACACACAACTTAGTGGCAGGTGGCTGTGTTTTGTTTCGTTTTAGTTTTTTAGTAATTTTGTTTTTCTTATTTTCAACAGGTTCTCCTTTAGGGGCCCTTAACAAAGCAGAACATGGTATGTAATTATCTAAAATTAAAAAAAAAAAAAAAAAAATATATATATATATATATATATATATATAATATATATATATATATATATATATATATATATATATATATATATATATATATATATATATATATATATATTATATTATTTATATATACCAAGTCAAATAATACCAAACTCAAACTACTTTTAAATCCATCCAACTGCTGTGTTCAATAGTAAACTAAAATGACTTCTTTTTAATAACTATTTAAAGGCCCAAATCTCATGTAAAAAACTTTTCAGAGCTTTCTACCTTCTAAGAGTGATGTGTGTACATGTCTCTGAAGTGGTTTTTAGATTGGTTCAGAGGTTTATTAACAAACTGCAGTGTATTTCTGCACTCCCCGACAGTGTACACCTCACAGTCCAACACCTCCACCCTCACCACCTCCACACCTCCAACCTCCACACCTCCAACACCTCCAACACCTCCCACCTCCATCCACCACCTCTCCACCTCCCCACCTCCACCACCTCAACCTCCCACCACCTCCCACCTCCAACACCTCCACCCACACCTCCCAACACCTCCACCAGCCACCTCCACCACCTCCACCACCACCTCCACCTCCACCACCTCCACCACCTCCAACACCTCCAACACCTCCAACACCTCCACCCTTCCAACACCTCCACCTCCACCACCTCCAACACCTCCACCACCTCCACCACCTCCACCACCTCCCACCACCTCCACCACTCCACCACACCTCCACCACCTCCACCACCTCCAACAACCTCCAACACTCCACCACCTCCACCACCTCCACACTCCACCACCACCTCCACCACCTCCAACACCTCCACCACCTCCAACACCTCCAACACCTCCACCACCTCCCACCACCTCCACCACCTCCACCACCACCTCCAACCTCCACACCTCCACACCTCCACCACCTCCACTCCAACACCTCCAACACCTCCACCACCTCCAACACCTCCACACACCTCCACCACCTCCACCACCCATCCACCACCTCCACCACTCCACACCTCCAACACCTCCACCACCTCCCACCTCCAACACCTCCAACACCTCCAACACCTCCAACACCTCCAACACCCTCCCACCTCCAACACCTCCACCACCTCCACCACCTCCACCTCCACCACCTCCACCACCTCCACCACCCCACACCTCCAACACCTCCAACACCTCCACCACCTCCACCACCTCCACCACCTCCACACCTCCACCACCTCCACCTCCACCTCCACCTCCACCACCTCCAACACCTCCAACCAACACCTCCACCACCTCCAACACCTCCAACACCTCCAACACCTCCACCACCTCCACCACCCACTCACACACCATCCTGCGTCTGCACCATACAAGATCTGCTGTTTTGCGTTATTTTATTTTATCTTTATTTTTCGCTTCAAACACCTTTTTGTAAACATGTCCTCGTGGAGAAAGTGCATTGGCTTCAGTTGCAAATAGAGATATTTGTCATACCAACAGAAGAAGCAGGCCTGCTAAGTGACTGGAGTTTATTTCTGGGAAAAAGAGACAAAAAGCCTCTCAAGAAATTTTTGTTTCGGGTGACACTTCACCAAAGACGCTTCAAGAACTATTTTTAAAACTGGACTTACAATGAAGCAGAAGCGACACTGTGGAAAAGGATGCTGTTCCCACGATACCAGGGTCCAGTGATGGAGATCCTAGACCTGTAAATTTACCGCTAGTAAACCACTGAAGAGAACTAAAAGCAAACTGCAGCGTTTTTTTTTGAAGATTATCCCAATATAATTTCATCTGCAGGTCATCTCCCTTGTTCTAGCTGTTTTAGTTTGACAAATGTTACATAGTCCCACGATATTCAGTGTTGGGGAGTAACAGATTACATGTACCAGCATTACATAATCAGAGTACAAATTATGAGTAACTGTATTCAGTTACTTATTTCACTCATTTCTTTACTCAGTTACTGTTTCAGTGAGTGTTAATTGGATTATAGTTACTTTGTTGAAATAAATGGATTACACGGCGGTATTTTCCTGTTTTCACATTTTGGACTAAACCAGGATTAAAAACCAGGTCTAAACCAGGTTTAAACCAGGTCTAAACCAGGTTTAAACCAGGTCTAAACCAACTAAACCAGGACTAAACCAGGACTAAAACCTGGTCTAAACCAAGTTTAAACCAGGTCTAAACCAGGTTTAAACCAGGTTTAAACCAGGACTAAAACCAGGTCTAAACCAGGTTTAAACCACCAGGTCTAAACCTAAAACCAGGTCTAACCAAGTTTAAACCAGGTCTAAACCAGGACCAGGTAAACCTAAACCAGGTCTAAACCAGGTCTAAACCAGGTTTAAACAGGTCTAAAACCAGGTCTAAACCAGGTTTAAACCAGGTCTAAACCAGGACTAAACCAGGACTAAACCAGACTAAAACCAGGTCTAAACCAGGTTTAAACCAGGACTAAAACAGGTCTAAACCAGGTTTTAAACCAGGACCTAAACCAGGTCTAAACCTAAACCAGGTCTAAACCAGGTTTAAACCAGGTTTAAACCAGGACTAAAACCAGGTCTAAACCAGGTTTAAACCAGGACTAAAACCAGGTCTAAACCTAAACCAGGTCTAAACCAAAACCCTAAACCAGGATTAAACCAGGTCTAAACCAGGACTAAAACCAGGTCTAAACCCAGACTAAACCAGACTAAACCAGGTCTAAACCAGACTAAACCAAGAGTAAACCAGGTCTAAACCAGGGCCAATTTGAAGAGAACAAACATGAATTTTCAGGATGTGGTTGTTACATTCATGTAGTTTTAAAAAACATGACAATATCAAGTAATCCAAAGTATTCAGATTACATTACTCACTTTAAGTAATTTAATGGATTACATTACAAACTACATTTTGGTGTATGTAATCTGTAATCTGTAATCTGTAGGGGAATACATTTTAAAAGTCACCTTCCCAACACTGACGATATTACATTGATGCTAACAACATAGTCTACTTCTTTGATAAGTTTTCTGTCACATCAGCGACTCTGCAGATGTGGTTGTCTTTAAGCAGGTTTAATAACACTTGAAAAGGTGAAACTGTAGAGCAGACAAATGTAACATTACAATATGTCTCTATAACAAGTACAAAGACACAAAGTAACACCTGTAAGTACAAGGTTGTAACTCCACACACTGAAGGTTATCCGACGCTGTTTTGAGAGCTGCGTGGTTTGTGTGTAATTATCATATTACAATGCTAGTAATAAAAACAAACAAGTAATTACGACTAAAGTTGTTGAACATAGGTAGAAATGCATACCGGCGATGCAACCTCAAAAATTAAAAAAACTGCCGACTCAGAAAGCATGTGCGTGTTGTATCGTCTGCTGTTCACAACCGTCACTACCAGTTCAATAAAGTTCGATTCGGTACTTGCTCTGCGTGCAATTTCAAAGGTGTCCACTAGATGACACCATGCACAAGCAAAACTTAAGAATTATAAAGACAGGTGAATTATATATTTAAACATTTTTAAACAACTTTTTATACATAACAGAACAAATATATTATCAATTAATAATGTCTTAAACTGTCATAAAGATGAACACCTAAACAAAAGCGACAGCATAAGCTCATTGTTCTACACTGCAGTGAACACGATATAATAAGTTGATCTACTAGTGTTTATTAATACTTTACCAATCAGTAATGTTCCGCTGTAGCCGACGCGGTGCTTGTGCTTCGTGCACTTCAAAATCCTCGTCCGATTCCGGGTCCAAAACATAAAGTTGAACGCGCTGCATCTCCATGATGAATAAAAGTTTATTCGTACCACTATCAGACCGCTAAACGGGGCGTGACTGCAGCGCTGTACACAGGGTGCACCTGTCTCCGCCTCCCTCCCTGAGATGAGCGGAGGAAGGGCGGCTCACTCGGAGTCTACGTCACGTTTGGAGGGCGGAGCCTGTGCTTTCTCAGGACGGGACTTTCATAGTTCCTGGTCTGTGACTGAATCCAAGAAATCAGTAAGATTTCAGAACTATTGTGTAATGGATGTTCCAAAACCCAAATAGTGCTTCTATATGTGCACAAGATACAATGTGAAAAGAGTTATTTTTGCATGAGGTGGGCCCTTTAAAGTGTGGTAATACTGAGCTGATAAGAATTCTCAGTTCTGCTTTCTTAACCTCTCTATTTAGCTTTACAGTTTCCTATTTCCTATAAATTCATCTATCCTTGCAATAAACAGACTTTAGCTCTGAACTCTATGTTGTTAACTCATCAACTTTACAAAAACACAACACTGTAAAACTGTAAATAGTGTGTAGTGTAAATGGTGTAAATATGGTTCAATAAATAATTGTTTTTGGAAATTTTGGAAGTATATTGCTGTCATTGGTGTAGTGCCTGCAATATTATTTAATTTATTTTGTTTTTACCATTTTATATTCTGTCTCTTGTAGGAATCTGAGCAGCACAACAATACTCAGGATGACCCAGTAACACCTCAGCCCCCTTCAACCAGCCAAAATCCCAAATACCAACTGTTTCTTAATAATGATCTGAAGACCAATGGCACAGGCTCCAAAGAGCAGGACATAAACTTCAGTAGTGGGACAGCAGGGGGTGAGAATGGACCCAGACCCCGCTGGGAAAGCACCAGGTTGGGACTTAACAACTACAGAGGATCTTTGGAATCACTTATGTCACGGGACTGGGACAACACATCAGACCGGGTGAGAAACTTGAGCTTAAAATGTGAAAAACAGAACTACTTTATTTCAAATTGTTTGCAGCAGCATTCCTCACTTTCTTAATACATTCCTAGCATCCAAATTATTTTCCATGATAAGTTTCTAATAGCTTCTCCCAATTTTCAGAGGCCAGAGCTAAAAATCCCCAGCTTGCTAACATCTTACTTTCTGATTCATGGACCATAAAATTATTTATAAGTAGATGCAGACAGCAGGCAAAGAGCTGCTTGAACTACAATAGTATACCTGTCCTAGAGTTAAACTACTCAACATTGGGTACAACCATGGTGTTACATTGGTATTTTTACACTATTCTTACACTAGTATCCACAAACACTGGTGGTGAAGTGTCTTGCCCAGAGACACATGGATTGTGTGCACCTGTGGTAGCTGTGATTAAACCACCAACCTGTGGGTCAGTGGATCTAACCATGGACCTATTAAATATATATATCGCCATCGCCTATTGGTCTAGTCAATACGTACTGCAGCAAAAAGAATCCTCTGCAGCCCAGAAAACTTTTTTTTTTTTCCATAGAGCTCAATGGAAACACAAATGGCTTGCATTCAGCAGACAGGGTATGTTCAGCTTTCAGAAAGGTCAGAATTCATGGTGATTTTTGCCTATTTGTAGATAAACTATTTCTCAGTTAAAAATTTAATTTGTCTTAAAACCAGAATTTTTCATCTTTAGCTTTGGTCTGTTCCAGTCTACTCTTCGCTCTTGTGATGTGAGATTTTTAAAACTACCACAAGGCATAGCACTTTGCTTATCTCTGCTCCAGCTGTGACCCTGGCATGTGCTCTCTGAAAAGTCTGAGACAAGGGAAAAGGTGACACTCATGGAAAAGAGCTTGAAGTGAAGAGAGTTTGAGGCAGTGTTTAATCAAAGAAGTTGCCAGGAAATATAGTTTATAAAATAATGACATTCCAATTTCTGCATTTAAGCAGATGTTGACCAAAACACTGAGAACAGCTGTTTATTACATTCATTATTCTCAACAATATAATGCATTTGCATCACTGGCTCTCCCTCAGTCCGCAAAGTCACCATATTGTATACAGACTTCTATACAGTCTGTGTATAGAGGAAGCTATAGCTAAAGGTGGGATCTATAATTCCAGCTCCACATGGGATAAATAAAGTATAACTTGCATAGTGGAGTGCATAGGGAGGGTTTAAAAAAATCAGGAGTTTGCATGGCACTTTACAAATTTGCAAATTCATTACAAAATTAAAATCACCAGCCTTACAAAGTGACCCACTGACTGCTATATTTGTATATAGTTTAGTTTAGTTTAGTTTATTGTACTTATTTAGTGTCATGCACCATTTAATTGGAGCCCAGCCTGAATGGGCTTATACAACACATAAAACAATAAGCAGACAGATCACACTTCAAACATAAAGTGTTCTCTTACAGAGGTCCCAGGCTTTCAGCACAAACTGAGCCAAGTTGAAAACATTACATTTAAACAGATACTTCAGTCTCTCCTCATCAGACAGAACAAACCAACAGTAAGACACATTAGACACAACTGACAGCGCAGGTCATGATACAAAGGACAGTAAAACAGAAAATGTATTTCATTTTCAATGTCCTTTTAAGTCGCACAGACACATGTGCTCCTCCTCTGGGACTGAGTGGAATCGTCCCGTCTCCAAGGCCAGAGGCAGAGTCCCACACCTCAACTGGGCACATACTGACCTCTGACCTCTGCTCAGGTTCAGGGTGACATACGGCTCACGTCCAAAGCAGTCTTTAATTAAGATATATGTTCTTAATTTGGTTTACAGAAGATGTCATTGTGCCACTTTTGTTTAAACTTATCAAAGTAAATGTTCCTCACTTGTCGAACACTACAGATGAACTTATTTCTGTAAATAAACCAGAGATCTGCAATCTCAAAAAGTTTCTCAATCTCTCTACTCCAGGATGATTTATGTAACAGACTCCAGTTAAATACATGTTTGGTTAAATTCTGTGCCAGGCATATTAACCAACCTGTTCCATAACTTAATAACAAAATAACTTCCCAGCCCATATCTCCATACAGAGCAAGTTTAGGTGCCTTTTTGTGCACGCCTAAAAAGTACCTCAGAGCTCTGCACTGAACTTTTTTCAGGGTGTGGGTGTGTTTACAGTGACCCCAGACTCCAGCGCCACAGTCCAGAACAGGACAGAAACAGGACAGTTCAGTGTAGGTTTTGTAGCCCAGGTCACAATATGCTTTAACTTTGTTTATCAGTGAACCTAAGGCTCGACCTGCTGACTCTGACAGAGCTTTGATTCCTTCATCAAATGTAAGATGTTCATCCAAAACAAGTCCCAGATATTTGTACTTTTTTGTTAAGGACAAGGAAGTGGCTCCAAAATGGAATTGAAAGTTCATCAATTTATGGCTCTGTTTTCTAAAATGAATCACCTGAGTTTTCTCACAATTTATCTTCAGTCTCATTTTATTACACCAGGTATGAACAATATTCAACATCCTCTGAAGTTCCAGTTAATTTTCTGAAATAAGCACTATATCATCAGCATAAAGCAATATACACACTTTTAGATCTCCCACATTACACCAACATTTGCCTCTTTTACTTCATTTACCAAATTATTGATGAAAATAGCAAATAATGTGGGAGATAGCACATCACCTGCTTTACACCGTGTGGTGTTGGGAACCAGTCAGTCAAGTGCTCATGAACCTGGACACAAGATATGGGATTGTTATAGATAACTTTGATTGACTCATAAAATCTGCCGTCAATACCAGTTTGTAACAGCTGAAAGTAGAGCAGGTCCTGATTTACACACTCAAAGGCTTCTGCAAGTCTATAAAACAAACAATGGTAGAGTTTCCCTCTTCTTTTCTAACATTTACTATAGAAGTTAAAGAATATATGTGATCTATACAGGCTCTTTTCTTCCTAAACCCATTCTGCTCCTCTGCCAATACATTAAAGGATTCAAGGTAACAGAGCAGCCTCTCATTAAGAACACTCGAATACAGTTTATACACACAACTAAGAAGGCTGATGCCCCTGTAGTTCATGGGGACTCGAGGATCTGCAGTTGACACTTTGGGATTGGTCTGATAATAGATTTTGCCCGTCAGCGGGGACAAGACTGTTTAAAACAGGTAAATAAACGACAGTAGAGGACAGGGAACAGACCAGGCTGTTTCAGCAGTTCATTCGACAGATTATCAAATCCAGTGGCTTTCTTAACTTTTGATTTATCAGTGGCCTTTTTTACTTCATCTTCTGTAATATCAAAATTTAAATAAGGATTAGGGAAGGTAAACTGTTTACACATCTCCATTTGATTTCTCTGAGTCACTGCCATTTCCAATATAAGAATTATCCCACTCAAAACTTCCTGCAAATAAAGTTCCAAAATCAGTTTCCCACTTTTTCAGCACATATTCAATATCAAGATCTAAGGAGCCGTCATCTGAGATCACCTCTACAGGGATTTGATTGACCTTTTGTGGACCTAGTTTATTCACCATGCTCCAAAATAACTGAGGATTATGTGTTTGACTGTATTCAGTTTGTAATGCCTGCCCTCTTTGTCTTCTTCTTTTATAAGCTCTGAGTTGTTGTTTTTTTATCAAACTGGTGCTGCTTGTCTTTGTATTCAAGTCTAAGTTGTTGTTTATTTATGCCTTTACATAACAAAAAATGTTTTTCAACCTGCCTCATGTCTTTCTACAGATGATCTAACTCTCTACTCCAATAGGGTTTACCAATTGTTTTACTTTGCTTTCTTTGCTTTCTTTGCTTTCACCCCTTTGCCTGATTTAACCATCCTACACACATAGCAACATAACTCTTCATATACTTCATTGATCAAATTTTGGTTAGTAGCAAGTTTATCTACAAACAAGGAAACTGCATTCTGAAACTGTTCATTTGAGAAAGTATAGGGGGGTAAATTCTTTGAATTTATTTGATTATATTGTCTAGGTTGATGATTACTTAAAACAAAACTGCTTTGTCTTCCTTTAAATGTTACAACCAACATAGAATGATCTGGCATTTTAGAATAATAATCCAGTAAATCAAAACACAAAGGACCCCCCCTGTCAAGGAGTTCATTTGGGCTATAATTGTCCAAGTTCAACGAAGAATTCAAACAATCATGAGGTGTGATAATATCGTCCACCACTGCTCTTCCTCTACAGTTATAGAGGTGAAGTTGTTACAACCAGACAATCGACCATTCAGAACATAATATTTGCTGTCTCTCAGAAAATCAATCAACATTTCACTAACCTGTGCATTAACAGTGTCATCTAGACACTCTGGGAAATTCCCAAATCAGAATCACAAATCCAGTCAACTAAACACCCAATTCGACTATTAAAATCTCCACAAACATAGACTGCGTCACATTTAACCAAAATATACATTTTAACCAAAAGATTATTGTACAGCCTCTGTGGGTCAGACCACAGGGGGGAGGCAGCAAGAGAGTAAAGCCATGGAGTACTTAGAGACAACATGCTGAAGATGAACACACATTATACCCTCATTTTTATACACTAAAAGTACATCAAATTCTTGCAAGGTATACATCAATTATGTTAAATGCTAAAAACAAGCAGAATTGATGTTATTTTGTCATGCTCCTCAACACAGGAAAGTTACTGTCGCTCAGCTTTTTAAAGTCCCCTTAGAACTCCTGGCCTGCAGGTTGGCATTGTGATTCCTACTCCCACAGAAGAATACTGTTGTTGTGTCCTTGGGTACGACTTAGCCTGCCTCACCCCTGGTGTTTGTGTGTTGAATAGCTCCTGGATGTAAAGCCATGTGAATGCTTTGAAGGTAGAAAAGCTCTATATAAGCAATGACAATTGACAATTGACAATTGTGATAATTACACATGGGAAAACCACTGAAAGCAAATGTGCACTGTGATATGGAAAAGTACAGAGTGATGTTCAGGTGTGGCAGACATTTTCAGACATTTATATTTTGATAGTTAAATAGATATGACAGGTTTTTTACTGTGTTTACTTAGTTTGATAGGATAATTCTTTCTTACAATTCTTATATAACACAGACAATTCCACATTGACAATTTACACACAAGGAAGGCATTTTTCAGATCATAAATCATCATGGAGTCATAAATCATCAGGGTCAGTCTGTATGAAATCAGCCGTTTTCAAAGAATCTCCGCTATGAGCCATCTCAGAATTGAGATAAAATCATCAAATGAAAGAATCTCAAATTTTAGCTCAATCCCTTGAGTCGTTCCTGAGTTATGGCCCATTGAAATTTGGGGGCCATGCTCACTTTTTCCGAAGCCTTAATTTATAAGCATATTTGAGAGACCAGAACTTCATAAAAAAGAGAGCTAGGAAGATGAACATTTGTATTATTGTAGATTCTTGCTAATAAATTCTGAATGTCTGTTGTCAAATGTTGGGTATCTTTATTAAGGTGGGTGCCGTGGGCCCCCAAAATCTCACATTTGGTTGGTGCTCTTTTTTTCTTTTTGAGGTCCAAGATCTGTTTACTCCAACTAACTGTTGAACCTGAATATTTGAGAGAATGACCATTTCTGACAACAACCTCACACTTTTCTGAACTTTCATGTGGACGGTGTAGAGTCCCAAATATGGTCACAGATCAAATGTAAACTTTTTGGCCCCGTCTTTGGACCCTCGGTTCCCCATGTGGCACAGTTAGAGGTTGATAAAATTTTTACCAGAGAAACTCTGGCATTTTGATTAGTTTAAAGTAATAAAAACATCTACTAATAACTTCCTTCATTTCAAACTGAATTTTTGAAAATGAGCTCTCATGGGTCGTTGTTGGCGGAGCTTAGGGACTTTTCCACCTGCAGAAAGGTTCAATGACCTTGAATAGACTGAAACACTATTTGCTTGTTATGAGGGAAGACAATTGGAGATTATTTGAGGTACATTGCTTGGAAAAGTGTCATTAATCCTTGGAGAAAATTCAACTATTAACTCTGTACAAAATTATGAAAAAAGGTTTGTTTGCATTTTTTTATTATATTTTTATTTGAGGAAGTTAATTTATTATCTCACAAAGAAACTGCTTTTCATGGTGTATAAGTGAAGCAATAAACGTTACTATAGTATTGATGGAAATGCAAATTACAATTGGGATACTCATTGCCTGTTAAATCACAAAGTCTCTGCTTCTATAACTATGGCTTTCAGTACCAATATTTTTGTGTATACATAATACATAATACATATGTGTATTATTTTTGCACAAAAAAAAAAAAAAAAAGCTCCACCGAAAATGACCGATGAGAGCTCATTTTCAAAAATTTCGTTTGAAATGATGGAATTTAATAGTAGATGTTTTTATTAGTGCTGTCATGCGATTAAAAAAAATTAGAGATTAATTAATTATGATCTGTAATTAATTAATCTAATTAATCTAATTTTAATCTCACCTAAAAATTGCTGAGAAAAGCCTTCATATAGCCTTGATATAGATTTAAAAAAGTGACTTTATAAAGTCATTTATTGTTTAACAAATCTCTCCAAATTGGCTGTTGAGCCCAAGTCTCCATGAATAAGAAACTGTTTGCTGTAAAGTAGCAAAGACGAGGAAATCTGAACATAATAACTTTTGTCTACTTAAAGACAATAAAAAGTCCAGTCTTTCCTTAACCATATTAAAAATATTATTGATAGAGAAATGCTTTATATATGAGATCACTGGTTTAAGTCCTTGTTTTAGTCCTGGTTTAGACCTGCTTTAGTCCTACTTTAGTCCTAGTTTAGTCCTGGAATGGATTAATCCTGGTTTAGTCCTGGTTTTAGTTCTGGTTTTAGTTCTGGTTTAGTCCTGGTTTAGTCCTGGACTGGTTTAGACCTGGTTTAGTCCTGCACTGGATTAGTCCTGGTTTTAGTCTTGGTGTTAGTTCTGGTTTAGAGGCGCACAGGAGGAAGCGTGGTTTATGCATCGTACGCGAGAAAACACGATCCACACGCGGCTCACGGGAGCACGTCGGTGTCCGCGCAGTAACTACGGAAGGAAACGTGGTCTGCGCGTTCTCAGGTTGATGACGATGATGAAGGTGTGTGTTTGTGTGTGTTTGTGTTTGTTTGTTGTGTGTTTGTGTGTGTTTTTGTGCGTGTCCCCTCATGTGGCAGGTCACTATAGGACAGTAGTGCAGACATCATGAGTCTATGCAGGTTGTTTTCACCAGTGACATTTAAGTTGTAGGTAATATTATATTTGTTATTTTCTTTTATATTTCACGTCGGGAGAATAATTTCCAAGACACGAATGTGTTTTTCCCTGTGCACTGCTGACTCTGTTCTACTGGCTCTTCGACCTCGTCCATTGTGCGACTGACGCCGCCAACGTTAACATGACATTTACATCGCTCTTACTGTGCGCGTTTTGTGTGGGTTTCCAGCAATGAGTGGAATTACCGAAATAAAAAAATGTATAAATGTGTTTTTTGTGTGTGTGTTGTTGTTGTTGTACCAACAACACATAAAAACAGGTTTTATAATAAAGCAACTCGCATACAGAAACACTAAATTTAGAGATTAAAAATGAGATTAACGCGATTAAAAAACATAACGCGCTAAATATGACTGTAATTAATTAATCGCAATTAACGCGATAATTTGACACCCCTAGTTTTTATTACTTTAAACTAATCAGAATATGACAAAGTTTCTCTGGCAAAATGTTTTTTAATCAACATCTAACTGTGCCCACGTGGGGAACTGAGGGTCCAAAGAAGGGGCCAAAAAGATCAAATGTGATCTGTGTCCATATTTGGGACTCTACAATGTCCACATGAAAGCTCAGAAAAATGTGAGATTGTTGTCAGAAATGGTCATTCTCTCAAATATTCAAGTTCAGCAGTTAGTTTGTAAATATCTGCTTGGAGTGAACAAATCTTGGACCCTAAAAATTGAAGAAAAAAAAATTGGACTTACAACCAAATGTGAGATTTTGGGGGCCCACAGTGCCCCCCTTAATAAAAATACACAATATATGACAACAGATTCAGAATCTATGAGCAAGAATCTACAATAATACACACATTTTTCAGCTTCCTAGCTCTCTTTTTTTATGAAGTTATGGTCTCTCAAAACATGCTCATACATTAAGGCTTTAGAAAAAGTGAGCGTGGCCCTAAAATTTCAATGGGCCATAATTCAGAAACGGCTCAAGGGATTGAGCTAAAATTTGAGATTCTTCCATTTGGTAATTTTAGAAATTTTTTCAGCTAAATCTGAGATGGCTCATAGGGGAGGGCGGCTGATTTCATATGGACTGACCATCATTGAAAATCTTAAATATAATTGTTTATTATTATGTTTCAGTGAAATTAGTAGTCTGACCTTTGCTTTTTAACTGATCTAATTTGCAAAATAGTTTATATTAATATAAACTATTTTGTGTTTGTGGCACAGGGGGGTATGAGCGACAGTTCATCTCGAGTCTTCAACAGTCCCTACTCCACCACTGCTTCCATGGACTATAATCCTGCATTCCGCATGTCTGAGTATAAGGTTAGTGGTCAATCTGCTGCTTGTTTTCAATCATTTGCAATCATTTTGTTCTGTTGCGCACACCTTGTTTCTAGAGAGATAACTGCGCTAGATCAGTCATGCTGGGAAGGTATTGTTGATTTGTCACTGAACCTTTTTTGCTCAGTGTGATTTAGAACTGGCTGTGTCTGCTTTTTGATGATTGTGGCTCAACAGTCTGATTGTTGAATGCAGAAATGATAAGAGGAAAAGAAGCTCAATGCGTTTCGCAGTGAATAATATAAGAGGATGTTTGTGTGTTAACTTTCAGGTAGCAGGTGGTTTGTCTCCAGCTACCTCTGAGATGAACTTGTACAACTACAATGGACGCAGCATTAGTCCAGTGCCCTCTGTCACAATGGGTGCTGGCCGGACACGCTTCTCCACATATGAGACACTAAGGCGCAAACCTGAGATCAGTGCTCCTGTAAGAAATAAATTCATCAAATTCAAAGAGGTCAAAAGCAAAACTTAAGTAAACTGTGCATGGTTTTATTATTGTTTTAATTTTAGGTGATCCCTACAACACACTATACAGTGCGTTCTACGGCTCTGGGAAATCCAAACAAGAAAGATTATATTGAGGAGTTGACAAAAGAACTAGATGCCTGTCAAAAGGTGAGCCTTCTGCATTCTTTAAAACAACAGACACTGCTGTGAGGTATGAAAATGTAGATGTAAAAAAACATTCACAAATGTAACACTACTTTAAAAACAACACACCAAAGTGCAGTACACAACAATAATTATAAATGGTAATAAAGTGGACACAGACTGCAAAAATACAGACACATAAAAACACAGGGTCCAATATAAAAGTCAACATAAATCACAATTAAACGCTGTTTCTGTAAATGTTATTTTGTTCTGCAGAGGAACCAGTTTTTGGAAGCAGAGAGTGTGGAGATGGAGAAGGAGAGAAACCAAATAAGGTCAGAAACTTTTATGTAAAGATGCTTCAGAGGTAAAAAAAAATAAATAAATAATATATATATATATATATATATATATATATATATATATATATATATATACACATATATAACACCTTTGACAAAAATCATATAGGTTTGAAATGCGAGGCTTGCTGGTGAATAACGAGGACCTTCTGAGAACTAATACTCAACTGACCAATGAGATCAAGAGAACGAGAGAACAAATGTTGGAAATGGAAAAAGAGAATCAGGCTATGGCTGAGCGCTGCCGGGAGATGGAGGTCAGTTCAGAGTCCACTGTGCAGTTTGTTGGTATTTCATTTTGGGTTAGTGCTAGATAGTCACTTCTGGAGAGTAAGAAGTGATGACATAGCAGTGGTTCCCATGGTAATGTGTACATTTCTGTTGCGATGAATAGCCCTAAAGTAATATTAATTTATGTTTTGTGATGGTTTAGGTTGATCTAAAGCTATAAGCCATGTATAATAGTTAATCATAACAATATTCATGACTTCATGACTTTGAATGACCCACTGCAGCAGAGTGTCCATCCCAACACATTTTCTAGAACCAAACTTAATCTTTTCTTCCATTTGCATGACATTTCCCATCTGATTGTAGCTCTCCACCATCTTTATCCAGACTTAATCAACTATAAATTAATTTGAATTTGATAACATACTTCAGTAAAGAAAAGCTGTGTTTATAATGTTAACCAGCTTAAAACATATATAGATAGTTGAAAGGGAATGCACAAAGCATCTTTAAGAAAACTATTCTGTATCTTAACCCCAGAAAACAGTTAAATGCTAAGATGACCAAAACTTGTATAGTTTGTATTCTACTTGTATTCCACTGTGTTGAAATTGTTCTGTTAAAGGCAGAGTGATGTGATGTGCAGTAGTTTCATGAGCATGATGCACACTGATGTTGTTGTGACAGCACTGTGACAGCATTCATAAGATATAGCAAAAAATAAAGCTAAAATTGCAATGTAAATATGGTTTGTGTTATAAATGAATACCCCTCTTTCATTTATTTAATTCAGTTGTTTAATTCAGTTGTTAATAAACATACATTTAAATGCATTTACAGAAAATAAACCTGGTCTTATATGTTAAGCTGCAGTATTTTGCTTTTTACAGACTGAAGTGAAACAAGCTCGGGAGATAATGGTAGAGGCCAACAACCAGGAATATGCATTTAATTTCCTCCAACAGTCATTGAAAAACCAGATTCAAGATGCAGAGGTAAGAGGCATGTCAAGTAAGCAAAAAAAAAAAAAAAAAAAAAAAGCAAACAGTCAATAAAAAAAATCTTCTAATTGTAAAATCCGAGTCATAACTCTGGAGTTCTAATGCAGAACTAATACTAAGTTTATTGTCAGTCCAGTCGGGCTCTGCTTGTGTTGTTGAGCATTATACTCCTTATGACCTAGGCCAGTGCATTATAACAGGTAATTGCTTTGTTAAAAAATTCTCAGAGCCCTCTCTTGTCCCACATTCAGATGAATGTTATTTAGCTGAAGTTTTATTATGTTTTTGGCCACAGCAAATGCATTTCAATAATGCATTTCTGGTTTATTCTTTTATCTAAGGCTCACTTCGCTTGTTGGCTTTATATGACAGTGAAGGACAGAGTAGCCTGAAAAACGGGGTTGGACAATCAGCAATTGTCTCATGACTCTGAGGTTGGGATTTTTCCACCATGCAGGTGATAACAGCTGAACCGACTAAGGAGAGATCTGGCCCAAGTGACTTTCATCTTTGTTAGCAGGACATAGCTTTGAACATTTCAAAAAACTGTTCTATTTATGATGGCTGATAATACACATGAAAATAAAGAGTTATACTCCATTTTCTTTATTTTCATTATTATGTATACTGTACATTCTCACTGAAAGCATCAACCTTATGACTCATATGGAAGGTAACAAAAAACAAACAAACAAACAAAAACACTTGCTGGCAGATCTTGGAGTGGAAACAATTTCAGGAAACTTTATCATGAATGATGAAATATCTTACTTCATATATTTGATGTCTGTATGTATGTAAAATGTATAAGATATATATATATATATATATATATATATATATATATATATATATATATATATATATATATATATATATATATATATATATATATACCGAATGAGAGGGTGTATGTGAGTATTTATTTATTTATTTATGCTTAACTAGGATAACCTGGAGAAGCAAACGCAGCATGCTCAGACTTTAGCAGAGAAGTTGTGGCATGCAGAAAGACAACTGGAGGAGTTTGAACTCGACAGAGATTCCAAGGAAAAGAAGACATCAGAACTTAACAGCACTGTGCTTCGACTAGAGGATGAGGTGAAGCAAAACAAGTTATGACATAGAGATTTTGTCTCAACACAAAATGTATATAATTGCTTGGAAGACAAAAGCAAATAGGATATTAAATTATTGTCAAGGAAATGAGACTATATGCTTAATAAATAATAAAGCTTAATACAGCCTGAAGAAAGAATAGGTGCAGACTCCAGAAAGTTACTGTAACTTGAACAAATATTGTTGGTGAACAGATCCACTGAGCCACAGGTTGGTTAATACATTATGGTGTTTTGTAGCTGGCAGAGGCTCTGCAGATGGCATCCCAGAGTACTGCAGAGAGGAACCTTCAGATGAAGCTCAGAGAAGACACTCAGCTCCGAGTGGATGAGCTGGAAGAGAGTCTTCTGGCTAAGCAACAGGAGATTGACAAACTACAGATACTGGTCACCAAGCTACAGGGAGAGGTAAGACATTTCTTGTACCTGTTTTGTTATGGATACATATAATTACACTCTTGTGTCCAAGGGCACAATTAGATTATGTTATTTTTGTGATTATGTTATATACCATTTTTAATGGTCAAACCTTCTTTAATTGTTAAGGGTTGGCTTCACAACATACCATCTTAATCTTCTTGATGATAAAGATAATTTCACCTCAGTGCATTTGTCCTGACAGAGAAGATGCTGAACCAGTTTTTGTTTCATGTGGATAGGCCTAGTAATTACTAAGATATTAGTCATAAACCAGATTGACACATTTGCAGTCTTTTAACCAGTAAATTCTTCAATAGAAGTCTGACATGCCCTCCAACTAAATTTAAAAGTGCATATCATAGATTAGACCACTCATTTTATAAACATATGTTAACATAATTACATTTTAATTTTAATAAAGAACTTGTGTAGTTTGCTTTTTCTTTCTGGTTGGACTTGGGCACCAGTATTCTATTAACATTAACTAGGGCCAAAACCTACCTAAATTACATAATAGTTTAGATTAAAAAATAGAAAGAAATGACAAGACATTATCTACAATGTTTTCCTTGCATGTGTATTGTTCCTGCATTTTGGGTGGAATTTTGGGTGTGGGTTGCATGTTCAGTGTGCTGTATGTTCCGTTTTTAAAGCCTTTTGTTTGGCGCAGGTGTCTGGAAAATTAGTGGATAAGGAGCGTTCTTTGGAGGAGGAGATACAGCTGAGAGAGAGGCTGCAGTTGCAGTGCAAACAGGCGGAGCGCAGCCTTGAGGACCTTCGCATGGAATTACACACAAGCAACCAAACCCGTGACGAGCTCAGTAAGCAGCTGAAAGTAACGCAGGTGATTTCAAAATTATGATAAACAACTAACTAAACATTTTTTGCTTGAATAGATTTTCATTTTCAATTCAAAAATTAAAAACATATATTTTTTTATTGAAATTGAAAATCTATTTATTAAAAACATATTTTAATTTTCATTTCTTTGTTTTTGTTCAGGAAATGAAAAACATTAAGATTAAGGTTTCATTTTTCAATTTGATATTTGGCTTAAAGAAAATTCAAAACAAATTTTGACCCATAATAAAAATAATGTCTTAATGGACGCTTCATGAGTGAGGCCCATTGAATCTGAAAGGAAGATTCTCTTGCCCTGAATGTTCACTTTCTATTTTCAGGAGAAGATCATTGATCTTGAAACTGATCTGGAGGAACTACATGACAGTGAGCAGCGATGGGCCTCTAAGCACAAGAGAACCATTGAACAGGCAAGACAGTACATGATCTCAGTATCTATTTTATTTTTTTTACATTTAGACAAAGACTCCCTGTGTCAACCTGTGTACTGGTGAATAATTGCAATAACTGAATTGACCTACTAGTCCAATGAGGTTCATTTGGTTTTACGATAATTTATGTTATCAGGTAATCATAATCATTTATGTTATTAGGAACTTAATAACATGAATTGACCTACTGTTTCTTTGTTTGTTTGGGGTTTTTTTTAACTTTCATTGCCAGTATTTCAGCAGGAGTAAATCCTTATATTTTCAGAACGAATAAATTAAATATAAAATATACATTGGTTTCTATGCTTGTGGGGACGTTGCACTGACTTACATTTCATTTCTCTGACAGTGATCTTAAAAAAAAGTTATGTTCAGGAGACATAAATGTCCACTTACAAAAATTTCTGTAAAATCATTATAGATTAATATTTCTTCTAGTAAATCAACTAAATATTTTATAATTATTTTAAAATCTTTTTTAAATCTTTATATATTTAACCCTTTAAATGCCGGTTTGCAACTTGAATTTCACACACATAAAAAAAAAAATTACCTCTTAGGTTTGTGGCATTTTTAGTTCAGATAAGAAAAAGGTCAAACTTAAGAACCTATGGACATAAATGTCCACTTCCAAAAACAGCTGTAAAATCATCATAGATTATTATTTTTTTCTTTTTTTTTTAACTAAATCCAAAGATATAGAGATCCTGTAGTAACCAAAACTATCAACATTTAAAAAATAAATAAATAAACATCAGTATTTTAAATATACTGTATATAGATTTTTTATTTAATTATTATTATATTTTTTAATCAGTGCAGGGATAGAGCTTTGGATTTTATTGAGAATAAATAAAATAAAAATTTATGATGGTTTTACAGCTTAAGTGTGACTTTTTTTTTTGTTCTGAGTGATCCAATGCAGTAGCAAAAAAAAGGTAAAAGTATTAATTCTTTCAACAAAAAAATAATACTTTGGACAAAATTTAATGTCTTTAGCAACCATAAATTGACAAAAATGTCCACAGGGAAGCCTTAACCTTAATTAGGACCTGCATGAAAAAACAACTTAACTTAAACTTAAGTTAAATTTACCCTTATCCCATGATGCTCAGTTTGAAAAATATTGATCTGCAGCTAATATTAACTTGAAATTCTTGGCTCAGGTGGAACAACTTCAACTCAAGTTTATTCAGCAAAAAGATCTTAGTGAACAGTTGGAAATGGACAAGGATTCGCTGGAGCGACAGGTCAGTCACTTGAGCACCATTCTTAAAGACTCATGCTCAAGCCTCTTTTTACAAGTTCAGTAGTGTTTCTGCATAATGCTTTGTCAAGGTACTGTTGTCTTATAGCTGCGGGAGCTACGCTTGGAGGTGGAGGAACTTCAGAGCTCCAGAGTGCAGGAGGATGTCATCTCCAGAACTGAGTCTCGAGTCAAAGACCTGGAGAATAGCCTGAGAGCAGAGGAGCGGTCAGTATTCACTTTTTGTCTTAGCTACGCTATATTTCATAAAGATACAGTGTGTCAAATGATGCCCCTGATAAAACTGCGGGTGAGGAAGTTGAAGGGGTAGTGATGTTGTTAGTGATGCCTCTCATTTGAGATGGGAGCATCAGAGAAGTGCAGAATCAGGAGTCAGATCATTCAGACATACAGTGGAATACAGTAAAGTGTCCCTGGAGGTGAGAATGTGTGGCCACTGTGGCTTTAAGTGCCAATACCCGATAACAAGGGACGGATTTTCAGTACATTTTCCCACTGCACTGTCCTAGACATGCATCTGTCACACTTCTCTCCTGGTGTCTCTTTCTCTGTCTCTCTTCCAAAACATGACAATTCTCACAGCCGGCAAACCCACAGGAACAATTATCTTAAGTTCAATTAAGTTGAAGTGTGTAAACAGCCCCTAGATACAAGGTACACAGAACAGGATTGAAACAGATGATGAAGTTGATCATTTGTTATTTTTTTCTTGTGTGTGAGCAGAAACAAATCAGTCTTGACCAATACTATCAGCAAACTAGAAAGAAAAATCACAGAGCTGACAGACCAAATGGAAGAGGAGCATCGTATCTCCACTGAGCAGAAGGAGCTGGTAATGTCATCGTTTCTAATGACCATATTAAGCTGTTTCCTTGTTTTCTGATCTGTCTTATGCTGTTGTTTCCTCATCAAAAATATTCACACAAACCCTGCATATTTTGAGTTCTTCTCTCAAACTGAAGACACTCTGTTCCACATTGTAATGTCATGTGGCAAAACAGGAAGTGTGCAAAACTGTGTTTTTAAAGTCCACTTCACTTCACTAGAATTATATGGATAATTTCAGCCCTGGAATTCCCAATCTCTACTGAATAAAAGTAAATGTAGAGCTGTTACCTTGAAAACAACCACCTCTTGATGGAGGATCAGAGCATTTTGAGCTTTGGAGATAGACTAAAAAAGCAGAATTACTCAAATAAGTGTGAATGAAACAAAACACAACGTTTTGAGGAAGTAACAGCATTCTGCCATGGCTTAAAGCTCACAAGTCATGTAGTCATTTTGGTATTATTATTTTTTTAATCCTCTGCTCACTTGCGTGATGTGCAGCTCTCCATATGAGGGGCTGACTCTAAGTTGTGATGACGTTTGCAAGGACCTCTGGTTCCACTGGGCATTGCCATTTTCTAGTGCATAAGTCATTGGACTTGTTTCTTTTATTACGCCATATTGGATTAATATTGTGATTTAAAATGTCCAAATGATAACATAATGAGTCAGAAACAGTAGGTATAAATACAGGTTGTATTTATATGACCTGTTTATGACCCATTCGTTGGCCATAGATGACACAGAGGATGCGGACTTTGAAGAGACAGTTGAATGAGGCTGAGGAGGAGGCCAGTCGAAAGGAAGCCCAGTGCCGCTTCGCTCAAAGAGAACTGGCAGAGGAGCGTGAGGCTCGAGAACGGCTCCAGAGGCAACTTGTGGATCAGCAACTTCAAGCCAAGTACACTTTGACCATTATTATTTATCATGACTACTTTTCATTTTGTATTAATTCATGAATGTATGTATTTGTTCATTTATTTAATATAGGCGTAAGGAGACTCTAACCATGCGTCAAACACTGGACAACCTGAGAATTGACCTAAGCATCGATGATGAGGAGGAGGAGGAAGATCAATCTAAAACAGAAACTGTTACCAAAGTCTAGAATGTATGTATTTAAAAAGAATGCTGTGAAAATGTCTTTTACCCATTAAGTAAGTAGACTGGGTTGCCTCCTTTAGTCAGATTAGTCAGAAAAGGTGTGTTTTCTCTCACCTGCAACTGCACCTGATCCTGTTGCAGACATTTTGGAAAACTGGGGACACTTGCATCTGTGCTTGGGTGAGAGCGGGGGATTTTTCTGAGGGCTTTTTCAAATAAACCACAATGATGTAAATAATGTTTGTGTTGGACTTTGAGACGTTTTAATTCCAAGAGCAACTCAATTTTGCATTCTTGAACTGTTTCAGACCACGATAGTCCTCACTCACACCAGTGTAGTCCTTCATTTATCCAGGAACGTTCATTTGAACTAAATTAAAAGCATTTGCTGTAGCTTTTCAATTTGTTTCAGTTGCCAATATACATTGTTTATTTTGAAGAAATGTTTATGAAATTTTGTTTTTGTAGCCCCCAAAATTACAACAAACAATGAAGCAGTAACTGGACAATAACAGACAGGCAGAAGAACCAACATTCACAGGATAAAAGCAAATGGTGAATTGTCCTGAAAGATTCCCTGGCCTTAGACCCCTTCTCTTTCCTTCCCCAAAAAATAATTATTATAAATAGTGGGAAGAAGATCAACTTTGAGGAGAACCACAGTGAAGGAGAGATCCACTTTTATGGATAAGCTGGTGATGGGTCCAAGACTGGCCTGCATCTATCTCTGGTTCAAATATGTACTCCCATGGTTCCACTCAAAGCAGAGGGTAGAGGGAGGGGTAGTGGTGGGGTCATCGGTCAGGTGAGGGAAGAGGAAAGGTAATAAATGTAATGCATATCAGTGCGCATCAGAAAACATCATGTAATGTATTTTACCTTGTTTGTGTAATAGAAAATTATGACAAATTTTGTATTTTTGATGAAGGTAAAATTCAGATTTTTTTATTTTACTGTACAAATACTTCCAGAAATGTGGACCATACAATAGTTTTTATTTTATTCTATTTTATCTACATATATATTACATACTTAACCACAAATTGTATTTTTTTTTTTTTTTTTTTTGAAGCTCAAAAAAGTATAATACAAAGCTAGAAAAAGATATATTTTGTATCCTGAACATGAACATTGCGCTTCTTTTATGTTAGAAATCCTTTTAGATGTGATGACAGTTGATCTTTGAAAACTGGGTTTATCCATTTTGCTTCCATTCTGAAATTTGGAACTAATGACACATTTTAAAAGATCTGTATTACAATTATAAATAAATGTATTGGGACACCAATGATTGCTGTACAGTGATAAACTATGAATACATTTTACTTTAAAAATATAACCCAGGTGCCATTTGTTATTGTTATGAGCAGAATATTTTGTAACTACTTTAATGATCTATTAAAAAACGAATAATATAACACATTCAGACCTTTTTAAAGCATTCTATTTTCATGTTTACCAACATGCCAACGTTTCTTATGACACTGTACTCTGTACAGTAGTTTTTGTCTATCTGTTCTTGCTGCCAGGAGCTTCATTCCACAAAGAAAGAAAAGTAAACAACAGGTTATGACAAGCAATGACACATAAGTTATTTTACCTTTACCTTAGCCTTTAAGACACAATGTTTTATTGTTAAGACTAAGATTAAAGTGAATCACACTGATCATGTTTTGCAACATAATCGAGACACTCTAAGTTGTTCCACAACTGTCTGCTTCTCACCAGTCAGAAGAAGTCCATCTTAACATCTCCATGTGCCGAGGCCGCTCCCACATGAATGTCTGCTCATGCTGAGCCACTCCCATGTTTATGTCTGTTAGTGCTGAGGCCTCTTGGGCACACTTATTCAGGAGCTAATGGGGATCTACATAAAAACAAACAAACTCGCGGGTTTAATATTTTATATTCATCAAGTTTTGGGGCATGTCTTTGAAGTTATTTGTAAATTAGATAGCATTATTTGTTTGCTTTTGTTTTTTGGTTAATAAATATAATTATAAAGAAAGTTGATAATTTTGTATTTTTTTTCTTGTATACTGCATACATTCTAGTCTTCACCCATATTCAAATTACATACAGTATTGTATGTTTTACTGTGATGTTTTTCCTGGGATCTACTGTACTCCACTCCTCCAGTTTGGTGGTTACAGCCCCAAGTGCTCTGATGATCATGGACACCTCTAATGCTTTCACCTTCCAGGCCCTCTCTCATTTAAAGTTTATTTTAATTTTATTTATTTATGTTCCCATCAATTGGTATTGGAATGTCCACCACAACAGCCTTTGTCTGCTGTTTTGTCACCTGCCAATGTCTGATTAATATAGCCATGGAGCAAGAAGAAAACAAATCCGAATCAAAATGAATAAAAACTCAATGTTGAACCACAGTAAACCCAAAGTAATTAAACCCACATAAAATGGCCACCAATGTCTATTAAGTTAAAATACACAGATGTTAATGGGCCACAATTACTGAATAGTCTGAAAATATAAATACATAAAAAACATATATTACTTAAAGAAAAATAAGGCTGGCTTGGTCAAAAGATGCCCCCTCCCTGCCAGAAGCACTGGACAGGTCAACCTGATGTAGACATCACCTAAAAGTTCTCCATGTGATCATGTCAAGAAGTTATTTGTGTACAATGGTGTTTACATTTTTAAGCCTTACAATTGCGAATAAGGTCAAAAGTTAAAGGGCCCACCTCATGCAAAAATAACTCTTTTCACATTGTATCTTATGCACATATAGAAGCACTATTTGGGTTTTGGAACATCCATTACACAATAGTTCTGAAATCTTACTGATTTCTTGGATTCAGTCACAGACCAGGAACTATGAAAGTCCGACTATTGCTCCTCCCCCCGCCCGTCCTGAGAAAGCACAGGCTCCGCCCTCCAAACGTGACGTAGACTCCGAGTGAGCCGCCCTTCCTCCGCTCATCTCAGGGAGGGAGGCGGAGACAGGTGCACCCTGTGTACAGCGCTGCAGTCACGCCCCGTTTAGCGGTCTGATAGTGGTACGAATAAACTTTTATTCATCATGGAGATGCAGCGATTTCAACTTTATGTTTTCGACCCGGATTCAGACGAGGACTTTGAAGTGCACGAAGCACAAGCACCGCGTCGGCTACAGCGGAACATTACTGATTGGTAAAGTATTAATAAACACTAGTAGATCAACTTATTATATCGTGTTCACTGCAGTGTAGAACAATGAGCTTATGCTGTCGCTTTTGTTTAGGTGTTCATCTTTATGACAGTTTAAGACATTATTAATTGATAATATATTTGTTCTGTTATGTATAAAAAGTTGTTTAAAAATGTTTAACTATATAATTCACCTGTCTTTATAATTCTTAAGTTTTGCTTGTGCATGGTGTCATCTAGTGGACACCTTTGAAATTGCACGCAGAGCAAGTACCGAATCGAACTTTATTGAACTGGTAGTGACGGTTGTGAACAGCAGACGATACAACACGCACATGCTTTCTGAGTCGGCAATTTTTTTTATTTTTTGAGGTTGCATCGCCGGTATGCATTTCTACCTATGTTCAACAACTTTAGTCGTAATTACTTGTTTGTTTTTAATACTAGCATTGTAATATGATAATTACACACAAACCACGCAGCTCTCAAAACAGCGTCGGATAACCTTCAGTGTGTGGAGTTACAACCTTGTACTTACAGGTGTTACTTTGTGTCTTTGTACTTGTTATAGACATATTGTAATGTTACATTTGTCTGCTCTACAGTTTCACCTTTTCAAGTGTTATTAAACCTGCTTAAAGACAACCACATCTGCAGAGTCGCTGATGTGACAGAAAACTTATCAAAGAAGTAGACTATGTTGTTAGCATCAATGTAATATCGTCAGTGTTGGGAAGGTGACTTTTAAAATGTATTCCCCTACAGATTACAGATTACAGATTACATACACCAAAATGTAGTTTGTAATGTAATCCATTAAATTACTTAAAGTGAGTAATGTAATCTGAATACTTTGGATTACTTGATATTGTCATGTTTTTTAAAACTACATGAATGTAACAACCACATCCTGAAAATTCATGTTTGTTCTCTTGGCCCTGGTTTAGTCCTGGTTTAGACCTGGTTTAGTTGTTTTTTTGTTGGAAGTGGTGGAGGTGGTGGAGGTGTTGGAGGTGGTGGAGGTGGAGGTGGTGGAGGTGTTGGAGGTGGTGGAGGTGGTGGAGGTGTTGGAGGTGGTGGAGGTGGTGGAGGTGGTGGAGGTGGTGGAGGCGGTGGAGCGGTGGAGGTGTTGGAGGGGTTGGAGGTGTGGAGGCGGTGGAGGTTGGAGGCGGTGGAGGCGGTGGAGGCGGTGGAGGCGGTGGAGGGTGGAGGTGTGGAGGTGGTGGAGGTGGTGGAGGTGGTGGAGGTGGTGGAGGTGGTGGAGGCGGTGGAGGCGGTGGAGGTGGGTGGAGGGTGGAGTGTTGGAGGCGTGGAGGTGTTGGAGTGTGGAGGTGTTGGAGGCGGTTGGAGGCGGTGGAGGTGGTGGAGGTGGTGGAGGTGGTGGAGGTGGTGGAGGTGTGGAGGTGTTGGAGGGTGGAGGGTGGAGGTGTGGAGGGGTGGAGGTGTGGAGGTGTGGAGGTGTGGAGGTGGAGGTGTTGGAGGTGGTGGAGGTGGTGGAGGTGGTGGAGGTGGTGGAGGTTGGAGGCGGTGGAGGGTGGAGGTTGTTGGAGGTGGTGGAGGTGGTGGAGGTGGTGGAGGTGGTGGAGGTGGAGTGTGGAGGGGTGGAGTGTTGGAGGTGGAGTGGAGGGTGGTGGAGTGGTGGAGGTGGTGGAGGTGGTGGTGGAGGTGGTGGAGGTGGAGGTGTTGGAGGTGGTGGAGGTGGTGGAGGTGGTGGAGGTGGTTGGAGGTGGTGGAGGTGGTCAAACGTGAGTTAGGTGTATCTGTTACGTCATCTCTGTATCAGGCTCCTGTTCGTTGTCACGTGGGAGGGAGGCAGAAACACACTGCAGTTTGTTAATAAACCTCTGAACCAATCTAAAAACCACTTCAGAGACATGTACAAGGCCACACATCACTCTTAGAAGGTAGAAAGCTCTGAAAAGTTGATTTTACATGAGATGGGCCCTTTAATGTTCCAAATCCTGGAAAACTGAACACTGGACGGTAAAGAAAAATGTGCACGTGTCATGTGGTACTGTCCAAACCAAGTCACCCAAGCATAACGCACATGTCAAAGACAAAAGTACTTGATTGACTGTTACATAGAAGAGACAAAGACAAGAGCATTATGGGACTCTGGCTTTCAAGTAACTATTGTAGATGCGAGGTGCTGGAAGGGAAATCTGCCACGATTATGGTTAAATAAATAACGAGTAATCAAACTGTAATCGAATTACTTTACTGATAACTGTTCTAATTTGTTCTAGGAAAGATATTGCCTTTCTTGGCCCTTGAGCACAAAAATAGTCAATTGACTTCTATTGTAATCACTATTCAACCAGCCATTGTACAAAGTATTAAGCGTGCGATATCTTAGTCTTATATATTTTCTGAAACCTCTGACATTTTTTGGAGGATGATGTAATGTTACCTTATATGGTCAACAATGGAAATGCAAGTAATTCGTCATTGACTTCTAAGTAATTTACCTTATATGATAAATGGTTCAAATGCATCTAATTTAGCATTTTTTATAAACACTTGTTTTTGATGAGATAAATAGAGGGATGCAGGTGCAATACCAGAAGTATGAAATATGATCAGTAAAAGTAGCCTTTCATTTACATTGTGCTTAATATTCAATAAATTATGTAAACAGCAAAAAGTACCTCAGAACATGAAAGCCAGAGGTTCAGATGATGTAGAGAAAGTGGAGATGAATGCCTTCTTACTGCAGGTTCAAAAAGGTCATTTGATTGGGTTCCAATGGGCAGCTCCTGCGAAGTGTTTATTTGACTTTGCAAAAAAAAAAAAAAGGTAAATAAATGATTGTTGCTACTAATATTCCACATACACCCGGGTTGAGTAATCAGCACCAAAAAAATTAATCATCAACTGAATTGAAAATAATACACTTTTGTTATATTTCTACCGTGAACCGACTTTATGAGAATGCATTGAGAAATAAAGGGTTTATATATATATATATATATATATATATATATATATATATATATATATATATATATATATATATATATATTAATTTTGATGATGGTTTTAATATAGGCAAAAATACCCTCAATTTTTTTTTTTTTTTTTTTTATATGTTAAATATGCCATTGTCAAAAAAATAATAATACATTTGAAAAATGATGGCCAGTAAACTTTGACATAAATCAGGCTCTTAAAGAGGACCCCCCCCCCCCAAAAAAAACAAAAAAACAAATCCAGTTTGCATCAAGCAACTGGAAGATACTTTATTTTTTGGAAATGAAATGCACTGACTTTATGAACAAAGTCAGCAATCATTAAAATATGAATTAAAATGCAAGATGCTGGTTGAGCAAATAAAGAAACATTTGAAAAAAATGAATCACCAGATTTTATTTATATCCAAATGAAATTCACAAAAATGTGCTCTCATAGGTGTGTTTGAGGATTATAAAGATACAAGACTCAAATTTCACCTGGATAATATTTCAAATATAATCATGAATTATGCCAAGTTTGAATCAAATCCATGAAAGTTAAATAGAATTTTATCCTGAAATCTGACAGTTTCCCATGGCCCCATAGGCATTTTTGGCCAAATGACTGGGAATTCTATCCTTCAGTTTGAGGGTGTGGAACATTTTTTCTGCAGGTGATGGAGCTCTTGAGCTTCATTTGAAGCCCACAGAGGAGACACAGGGTGGAGAGGAGCAGAGCAGAGGAGGGAAGCAAGGGGAGACATGAGCTGAAGGTGAATGAGACATGCTGCCATTAGGCCCTGGTTATGAACATAATGACACTAGAAGGGGAAACATACTAAAGGTGATGTTATATTATTAGTTCAGGACTTTTAAATCAAATTACACCTTTATTTTAAGATACATGTGTTCACTTGTTAAAATGATGATGATGATGATGATGATGATGTTCAGGAAGTGTGCCTATTGAACCCTCACTCAGGTTTCCTCTGTGGTTTCCATGCCTCCTCTGAGCTTTGGGACACTGCTTAATCTGGCCTATTTGACTAACATTTGAAAAATGGAGGAATGAGGAGAGGAATCAAGGAGAAAGAAGGAAGGAAAGATAAATGAGATGTAGCACTGGCTGTGCATTACGTCATATTGTGTCTGATGAGAGACAAAGCACAATCTGTTACAATAATGCAACTATAGAAGAGATGAAAATCATTTCTGGGCAATTATGTCAGCACTCAGATCATCTTTTTCACAAAGGGCAACATTGAATCATTCACTATGCCAGAGCCATACTTTTAATAAGACCTGGATAAAACGTATGCATTTAGATTTACTTGAGTGACTTTTTAAAGAGGCATACTAGCAGCATACTTTTACTCCTACTTGGATAATAGTTAAAAAAAAAAAAAAAAAAAAAAAACGTTTTATTGATGTAATAGAACTGTTACTAGAGCAAAAGATTTGGTTACTCTTACTGAGTAAGTCTTTGAGCTTTGTGTTGACAATATGACATTATTTTTTGTGCATTATTTAACATTATTCTTATTTGTGTACAGATTTTGACTACTCTGCTCTCCTGTACTAGTGATAGAGTCAAAGAGCCTCAACAGCACCATCTCCCTGGTGGTGGTGGTGCTGTTGTGTATGATAGAAGTAAAAACGACAGGAGGCTGTGAGGTTTGAACGCAGACATTTTCCCTTTGAACCCAAACAGAAAGCACACTGTTTGTCCAACACATACACTGGATTCTCAATGGCATGAGCAAAATTACAAGGAAAAAGAAACAACATTACACATGTAAAAATAGAAATTTTACATACACCATTTTAGAGATCACATTTTTGATTGCATACAGTTGTTTAGAAAGCATGTGGTCAAACGGTTTTATTGAACCCTGGCCATAAAGTTGCATGTCCAGGTCATGCTCTAGATTTCTTGTACATAAATATAAAATAAATGCTGTGATATTGCCCACCATTCATTTTCTGTCTTCTTTTATTTTAGCATTTCTCAAACTGTCTCATGATGAGTGATTCGGGTGCATTTGTATTCATACAACATAGACATAAACTCCAATGTCATAATAACACTTTTAATGATAATTCATAGGAATTAAAAACATAAAAGATAATCTTACAAAGTACTAGCACGTAGACGCAATGGGGACTACACTGGCTCATAGGAAAGCCAATTCATTCAGGATCATCATCTGAAAGGAATGTTCCCCACGTGAACTGAACGAAAAGCAGGAATCATTTGGGAAGATGACTGTGACAGGGAAGAGCATGTGAACCATTTCCATAAGAGCCTGAAAAAGCAGATTAAAACAGTTGTCCCAAGCTACTCATTAGGACTTTCTCTTGCCCGTCCACCTTCGACTCTAACCCACAGCAGTGTCCCAAAATACTGAATTGTTTTTAAAGTGACTGCTCAAATATTTCAACTTGTTTGCAGTTAAAGTGCATGTGACAGGTTTGTCTAATTTCACTAAAACATAACTAAACAGCAATGCATTTAAGTTTTGTTTTTGTTTTTTCACTGTGTACATGACTTCTTTGAATAAACTTTGAATAAGTAGATTAAAATGTCACTCATGAGCAACAAAGCTAACCTACTTCCCTTTATGGCAACACTTCTAATTTGTTTAAAAAAAAAACTAAAACCCAAAAACAAATCAATGTTTAAAGGGTCGGATAGGGTCAAATATCTTATAGCTGACTAGGTGAAAATCTTTGTCTCCTCTTTTTTTCTCTAAAACTAAGTATAATAATAATTTGTGCAGTATTCTCCTACCAAACTAAATAATTAGAAAAAAAAAAAAAAAAAAACCTAACATATGCACTTTAAAGATAATTTATTAATAGAAAAAAAATGTCCAAATCAAAGTCAACAACAGGAGTGTACACCCTAAAACACGCACATGCCAGGGTTTAGCAGAAACAAAAAAAAAAAAGCACACTCCTCCAAGAGCACAAGGACAGGACAGAACCATAGCAACTGTTCATGCCCACAAGAGGGCACTGTCTAATTACAAGCGTACACAACATGAAATGCAAATTCACCTTGTCCCCTCCCCTTTTTACTATAAACATTGGATTCATCTTTATATTATTGTTCCCAAGTCTTGTAAAAAAACCCACCTGCATAGAACCGAATGACAAAACAAGAGCATTGCATTTCTCTAAGAGCAGCTCATGTCCTTCTCTGGCAAATGATACTCTGAAAGGCACATTGGTAAGAGATGTCGGGTCTGTGGGACAGTCGAAACAAACATGAGGTTGACTTTTCTTATTTACTCTTATTGATTTTAAAATGCTACTCAACACTACAAAATCTGATTCTGATACTCAATCTGTGCGTTTTAGTAATAATAATATTAATCATGTCATGTTAATAAAGGCCCCTGCCCCTTGCGACTGCAGGGTAAACGCAGTCATCCTTCTGCTTTTCTTTCTTGCATCATCCTGAATGTTGGTGTATATACAACTCAGTTCATTGACCATTTAAAACAATCATTGAATACATTGTTAGGGCCACACAGTTGGAGACAGGTATGTCCTTAGAGGTATGTATATGTCATATTAAAGAGAATATGTGTGTAAATATTTAATTGCCTGTGACAAACACATTTTTCTCATCTCGTAAATAAGGTGGCATTGTAGCTATATAAACAGTACATCACTGAATTCATTTCATCAATGTGCACAAATGCTCCTCCAGGCCCGACTTAACTCAGTACTGCAGTTTATAGGTACTCATGGTAATCTATTTATTTATTGATTTTTATAATGGCTACTTGTTTACGAGATCAGCACACCCTCCTACACCAGCAATCACATTAAGAATCTGACTGACTTCATCATTTGTCAAGGTCTTTTTTTAAAAAACTTTTTTTCACAAATTCATGACAAACAGATTTTCATATATAAGCGGTTGCATGCTCTGAAGGGGGAGCAAACAGTTGGTGAGAAGGAGCAGAGGGAGCTGGAGCAGGGAGGGGTGACCATATGCAGGAGCTCAGACAGATATGGAGGTGCGAGGCTTTGAATGCGGCATATGAGGGGAGCCAGTGGAGTGGTTAGAGGATGGCTGTGATGTGGTTGATTGTATGTGTGCATGTGATAAACGGGGGCTGCTCATTTTTGAAGCAGTTGAAGTTAATGGGTAATCTTTTAAGACTGAGAATGGAGAAAATCATTTATCTTGTTTAGGCTGGACTTGGTGCCTACAAGGAGAAGTCCAGTTGAAGGACACACTTAGAGCAGGCAGGAGGAGGTGAATAATGAAGCAGTGAGGACAAGGGCGATTTCAGTGCTACAGAGGGGACCGAAGGAGAATTGAAATGTTCATACAGTTTAGTCCTCTAGGCACTGCCTTGTTTAGCCATGTTTGGACTGCTGAGGGTGGAGGTTTTTAGTGCCACTTTAATATGGTTTTATGCTTGTTATGTCAAAAAAATGTGGAAAAAAAACATGTTCGATCTTTCACTTGTACACCTCACTGGCATAGTCAGATGCCTAAAAGAATTATATGGGGCTTAATAAAAGTATCCTTATGCAGACAATGTGTCAATCAGACTTTTGTCTCCAAATGAGAGCCACATACAGGAAAAAAAAAAATTAATATATATATATATGTATATATATATGTATATATATATATATATATATATATATATATATATATAATATATATATATATATATATATATATATATATAATTATTATTATTTTTTCATTAAGGATAATGGGGTAAACACAACCTAAAAAGGCCCAACTATACTTGAGCTGCACACTGACAATTTTCATAATCTGATCGCTCCAAGAGGGAGAGGAAGCAGCAATAGTCGTGACAGCGTTCACTTGCACCACAGTCACTTTTCTTTCCACTGGGAGTTCCTGCTGAAACATGGCAATGAACTATTCAGGGGCCTGAACCGTGTTAGTGGGTGTAGGTAACACTTTATAATAACTGCACATGATTAGGTTTCATAAAAGGCTATAATGTTTTGTTTAGTTTTTTCATTATTATTCAGGCTTAGTAACTACTTAATGAACACCCTAACTTCTAACACTAAGCCCTTAATTAAAGCCCTGCCATGTAACATTTAAGTAATTTTTTTTAATAGAGATTTATTTGATGGCAGGTATGTTTCTTGCACTAAAACGCTGAAATATGCACCCCTGCTGTGAGAGGCTTGTCTCTCCACAGACCTGATTTGTCACTCTTATGGTCTTCCATCTGCTTGTCGCCATGGAGATATTCATTCTTTGCTCTAACATTTGACAGAATGACATAAAAGTGATCTATCTCCATGGTGACATGGGGGCATCCATCACCAATAATCTTACATGTTGATTCTTATAAGATTCACCCTGTAAGTTATATAAAATATAATCAATTCTGTAGTTATTATAAGGTGTAACCAAACATTACGTTAATCTCTTTCATTCATTCAATGGACTGGAACATGACTGATATGACATAAATCTTAAATGATTTATGTATATGTATATTTATGAACATGATTGCCATATGCATACATCTCTTATCTCATTGTAATAATGTTTGCAGAGAGTGCAACACCTCAAATGAACCAAACACATGTGTTTCATTATATGCAGCCCCTTGATTTATCATTTAGAGATCATCAAAAAAAACATAATCATTATGGAATGAATTCTTTAGGCAGATTGGCAGCTGGTTTAGGACAGGGTATTCAATGAAAAGACATTAATCTGAAGAATTTTCACTGTCAGTGCCTACACTCCCAAAGCTTAGCTCTGTGGGACAATGTGGGCCTTGGGAATGCGTGAGGTCTCCAGATTTCTGTAGACCTCAGGTAGTGAAGATGTTTCCTTCATAAATTCTGCTGTGAAATATGCATTGTTGGTTTGTGTTTTTGTTCTTTTTGTTCTTGTTGCACCCAAAAGAACTTGAGGCACAGCTTCTTCCACAGTGTTGATAAACTGCTGTTCAGTCTGTGCTCCTTTTTATTTATTTATTTATTTTTTTTACAAAAGAATCCATCAAACACTGTGATATGTTTTCATTTGTAAATTATCCCATGAGTTCATTTAATGTGCGCCCTTTGCACCTTTTAGACCATTTCATCTTCTTATATATATATATATATTTATTTATACATATATAAAAAAAACAAACAAACAAAAAAAACATTTGTTTTTAAAAGTGGGAATGTTGATAAAATGGAAAGTAAGATTTCTGTTATAAAGGTATACAGAGCTTCAGTTGTAGAAGATGACGAGGAAGTAGTCTTCTGCAGCCTAGCTCCGTGGAACTGTAAATAGAACACACAATCATACAACAGTCTACAGAGAACACACAATCATACAACAGTCTACAGAGAACACACAATCATACAACAGTCTACAGAGAACACACAATCATACAACAGTCTACAGAGAACACAGTCACACAGCCTTCTGCGTAACCTTTATGTTACTGAAGTATTTGATGGTTTTCTGCAAATGATAAATTGAGGGTAGTGTGCAGTGCTCTGACCATTTTACATATGTCCCATGGAACCATCTGAGCCCATGGGATGGTGTGCAGGAGCCAGAGACAGTGGAGGCCCTTCTGTCGCCACAGTAACCTTCTCTTCTTCACGCCGTTTCAGGCACGCTGCCTTTGGGTTCAGGTTTCTCTCTGCACAGATTCACAAAATCTTCTTAGAAATAATAACCTGAACTAACTCCCTGACAATCCACCAGTGTGCAGTCCACCGCAGTGTGCAGTCCACCAGTATGCAGTACTGTCCAGTGTGCAGTACTGTCCACCGCGGTGTGCAGTACTGTCCACCGCGGTGTGCAGTACTGTCCACCGCGGTGTGCAGTACTGTCCACGCGGTGTGCAGTACTGTCCACCGCGGTGTGCAGTACTGTCCACCGCGGTGTGCAGTACTGTCCACCGCGGTGTGCAGTACTGTCCACCGCGGTGTGCAGTACTGTCCACCGCGGTGTGCAGTACTGTCCACCGCGGTGTGCAGTACTGTCCACCGCGGTGTGCAGTACTGTCCACCGCGGTGTGCAGAACTGTCCACCGCGGTGTGCAGAACTGTCCACCGCGGTGTGCAGTCCACTAAAATGTGCATGCACTTGAAAAGTAACAGTGGAGTCTGACCTCGGACCTGCTGCTCCAGGCTGAGGATGACTGCCACAGCCTGGTGAAGGATGAGCAACTTGGTCTGGGGTTTGTCACTCTTCAGGTGCAGCTGGACCATTCGGCCCAGCTCCTTGAAGGCCTCATTAATGTCCCGCACCCGCAGACGCTCCCGGGCGTTATTGGCCATCCTCCGCTCCCGCTCACGCTCCATCTTCTGCTCCGGCGTCAGGTCTTCGTCATCATTATTGCTATGATAACCAAAGGGAAAGCAAAATCCAAGTTACACAGTGAGAAAAAAAATAAAGGAAAAGCTCAGCACACCAGAGCAGTGAAAATGGGTTGAATTCATGATATTATAGGATTTGATGTATTAAGTTTAGAGGGAGGGCCAATAACTATGTGTATATACTATACTTCAGCTTATATACTGGACAGTGTGATCTGTGTGTCACATAATCAGATTTGTCAAGTGTAAAAAAGAATGTTCCCATATTAATTGTGTGGCTGAAAATCCAACTGACAACAGTAAGGGCTTTGTGTTTCAACAAAACAATGGTGAATAAATAGTCCACCTTACATTTTGTCTTGACAGAGAATATTGAACTTTGTGCTAGTTATGGTTTCATGCGGAAGGACCCAGCAATTACGTATCTATTAACCCTAAAACATGTTCATTTTGACAGTTAAACAATAAATTTGAGTTTTCAGTTTTGAACTCTGCTTCTGACGTCATGAGGCTCTTCCTAGAACATACTGAAGATTGGCCCATTCGCTGTGTGAGAAGAAGCCAAGAATGAGGCCCACTGCCACTTTTGGGGAGAATTTAGCTTCTCCTCAACACAACTGCAGAGTCCATCAGAGTGACCACAGCTCCACCACGGGGCTTGGACATGTGCACCATTTAAATGTATGTGCAATGCAAATGAACCAAGGGGGAAGGCTTTAACGCTGCACACAGCACTGCACTATGCCACAGTAGGACATACAATCTGACGCATTCAAATACATACATGAATGTTGAACAATACACATTTAGTACACACACACACACACACACACACACATACACACACAGCTTTCAAGAGTGCATACATTCACTCTTTTTTAATTAACTTTAACACCTTTTCTCCATTAAATATATTGTTACTGACAAGACCATAAATGCATATTGATAAAGCCATTGAATTTCATATGTACTAATGATGTGAAATGAGACAAGCCAAAAAAATAAAAATGGTTACTGAAAATCATCTTGCTGTAACAAATAACTGTTCAAATTATACATGAGAAATGTTCAAATACCATTTAGTGGCTCGTTCTATTCCTTTTTCTCAATCAAGTGACTTGTACAACTAAAGACCACACTACAGATGCATCTCGTTCTCTTTGTATAAAAAAGCCAAATATATTGTTTTGATGGCAGCGGGTTGGCTGTGCGTGGGGCTGGACTGGTCAGTCTGATGGACTGGTGGGGCTTACAGAGGATACCTAGATCTTGACCTCTCTAAAGCTTTGAGCTCTTTCCCATCGATGTCCTCCTCCTTTGTGTCCAGGGCTTTCGGGTCCTGAAGCAGGTTCTCGTCCACCTCATCTTCAGATTTAATCTCAGAGCTGACCGAAGACGCGCTCTGCCCCTGCACCCCTCTGGACAGCACTGGAAACACAAGAACCGTCATTAGGCTAATCCCAGATACAAAACAAACTAAATATAATGTGATTTTTAAAGTGCATTATTCATCTAAAACAGCTTAATAAAAGAAACAGTCCACTGACTTCCACGTTAGAAAACTGCCATGCCCAATGGGAGCTGACATCACGGTGCAGCTGTCGGCACCTCCGAGCTGTACATCATGCTGGCGAGCCACAGATTTTTATTTCATTTGTGCCAAAATTACTGCACAACACTGAATCCTACTTGTATCACTGATTAGGAAAATAAAATTGGAGATAGAAAGTTACAGAGTACAGAGTAGTGGGCATATGTCGGTGTAAATGGGGGTAGATCGGCAAAATGGTGTCTTGAAAATAAACAATTCAAGCTTGCTCAAACATCCACAAATCAGTCTAAATACAACGTTGGGTGACTAAATGGTGAGGAGAAACCTCTATAACATAGTAAAAAAAATAAATAAATATATATATATATATATATATATATATATATATATATATCTGCTTTAAAGTCGTGTGGTGTATCTGTTATACTTCATTTATACACTGGACTGTTGGAGCTGTTGGTCTGCTTACACATGTTTACACAAATCAAATTTGTCAAGTGAAATTTGTGGAAAAACTTGAGCATAAATATTGATTGAAAAGTCTAAAAAAGGTTGAATAAGTTTGAACACGAGAACCATTAATACATGGATAACTTAATAACATTAATAACTGCTCAAGCTGATGTTTCTTTGCTCATATAGGGAGCATTTTCATTGAATTCTATGGAAGGAAAAAAAATGCACATAACGAGTGCACAAATGTTTAGTTAGACGGCCTCTTGCTTGTCTCAGTTGGCATGCTTTTTCTTTACCTAGAATAGGAGTGGGCAACTATTTTTTCCATGGGGCCACATGAGAAACAGAAAATAGTGTGGAGTCTTTAACTCAATTTTGCATAATATTATCAGTTTTTTTTTTTTATAAATAGCAGTAAATAGCACTATTTTGATGAGCTGGTCACACTGGTAAGAGTTTATATTATGACTATGTCATGAAAAATTTAGGTTGCCTTACAAAAAATGTCTTTTAAAAAACACCTCTAAAATAAAAGTAAAGCAGCTTTAGTCCATGCATGAGGTAAAATTATTTTTAAAAATGTATTTTATAATTCCAAAGTAGCTTAAACGGGCCAGTCAGAATCCAACAAAGGGCCGTACGTGGCCTGGGGGCTGCACAATGCCCAGGTATGACCTAGAATATTCATCTGTATGGTCCATAAACTGATCTATTCTGCATTCAAATACGGGTGGTTAATACAGGTGATTTTACTGGTAAAAATATCTGACTTGTAACTTGGCCTGATGGTGTTATTTGCCTGTATCTTTCACTGGCGAAAGCAGGTGACCGTGTGTGTGTGTGTGTGTGTGTGTGTGTGTGTAAGTGACAATACTAAGATGTAAAAAAGGTCACAGATTCAGACAAACTAAGGAAGGAGCAAATGTTCAAAGCTGAATGCATGTCTACATTTGTTCTCCTGCTCCCGCACTTGACACAGCGCTGGAATAGTGCCAAAACCTGCTCATACACACTACTATCCGACATTTTGGATGAGAGCAAATTGGCTCAAGGCATTTGGAGCATTCTGCCAGCATTCTGTGCTTGTGGTTAGATTAAGATATGAGTGCATGCAGTTTCTTCTGTACCTCTGTAGGGGTCACTGTGGTTCAGCTCTGGTGAGGTGGCCGTCTGATTGGACAGTTGAGAGACAGACGAACTTGTCATGTGACTGTTTCGATGACCCGCCTCCTCTCTGTGAGAGCCCACCTGCCAAACACAAGTGGAAAATATTAGTGGAATGACATATATGTTCATGCAATGCTCAGTGATTTTTCTTATAGGCAAAATAGTACATTTCCTATTGCATGGCCTGTCCACATGGAGAGAGAGAGAGAGAAAAAACTCTGTAAATCATAGATGACCAATGAGCTCCTTCATTTCACATTTGTCATTGAAAAAAACTGACAAATCTGAATGCATGATCATGTGAGGCTGGGCTTGAAATGCAAAGGAGGGCGTGGGCACCAGACTGATATCAATCTGTATAAAAACTACAGAGAAATACTGGTCTGGCTTTGGCAAGCAACATTTCCTAGTTTTCTTTTTAAAAATTTTTTTTATTTCCTAGGAATGCCCAGAAGGGGGCAGCACAGTCCTGCACAGCACTCATTCAAAGGCATCTTCAGCGCTGTGCTGTGTGAGAACGGCTGCGTTTTTGAAAAGGGTCCGTGAAAGTGTGCGTTTTGGACTGGCTGTCAGCTTCTCATCTGTGGGACCGGTCGATGCTTCTTATTTCAGGGAATCATTTTAATAACAACAAATCCTTTCCACAGGGCTGGGCAATATGGGAATAAAATTAATCATGATTTTCTTTCCTCATATTGATCAGTGCAGATTTGCAGTTAGATCAATCAGATTAGTCTTTCCAAAAAAAAAAAAAAAAAAAAAAATTGCCTTTGCATTTCAGGAACATAAAAATACAGACTTGTAATCTTTTTTTTTTTCTTTTTCCAGAGAAATCCCAGTATATTCAGTAGAGGTCCTTCAGGTAGTATCTCCATCGCAGTCAATAGTCTGAGTAACACAGACTGAGGCTGCTTCAAACATAAAGATCATCCATTAAATATGAGTGGCATCTCTTCTGCCAGCTCTCATAGGTGCACATGAAAGACAGAGGAAGGGAACGAGGGAGGGAGGGGAGGAAAAGAAAGAACATGGTGAGGACAGGAGGAAGGGGCGATTCAGAAGAAGGGAATAGCGGCAGGAAAGGATAGAAGAGAGAAAAGAAGGTGAGGGAGGAGGGATGGGGGGACAAAGAAAATGAGGAGGCTATGAAGGAGAGGAAGGAGGAAGACAGAAAAAGACTGAACGATATGATAGAGAAGAGATGAGGAAGCGAGGAAAGGAGAGAGGCAGGAGGTACACAAGAATAAATGAGGAGACAGAAGAGAAAAGGACAGAGGGAAGCAGGGAGAAAAGAGGGAGGAAATAAAATAAAACACACTCTAGAGAAAATGTGCTGAACAGACGTGGGGACTGTTTTGTTTTTGAGTCAGGAAGTGAGTGGATGTTTGTTGCGATGGCCTTGGTTTAATCTGAGCTGTGGAATTCAGTGTGAAATATGTGCTGAAGATATACTCCGACAATGCACTGCCTTTGTTGTGCCTGAGAGAGAGCATGGCGTTCAAGGACAGTCGGGCATGTGAGTTTAGACAGCTGGCAGCTCCACGGACACTGTACAAAACTCCCTGCTTTTTCCTGTAAAATGTTTATTGTGTTTAAATGCAAAAGCAAAGACGGACACTCTTTGCTTTTGATCTTCACAACAGTGACTGGGTTTCACTGTTGTCAGACTGAATACACACTTCTTCCACACTTTACAAAGATGTGAGTATGGTCAGATGGGTGTGACTGACAGGTGGATTAGCCAATCAGGGACATGTAATAATGATAATAATAATAATAAAAGCCGCGGCGATGGAGGCCCTGGCCCCGGTGCACACGCCCCTCCCATGCAACCTCCAAAGACTTGCGACCTCCCAACACACAACACAACATTCTCGCTTCTCGACAGCTGCTCAGACCGACAGCTCGTCCATTACAATAATTACACAATGCACCTTTAAATGTTTCTGAAGAGTCAGTGCACCTCTGCTGGCTAACTGTGAAAAATGCCCAATATCCGTAATATACTTTTTTGTTCACAATCATGCATAGAATTAATCACTGAATTTGGTACAAGTCCGACATTGTTGATGTCTATGCTGGGGGGGAGTTCACTTTTCATATACTTTAGAGTGTATTATAATCAGACCAAAGTCACGCATTAGTGATTCAAATTTCAACACGTTCAGACTAAACCTTGAGTGTGTAATCATTTTATTACTATTTTTTGGGGGAGTCTTTGTGCCCCTGCTGGCCAACAGTTTAAAATGTCGCATGTCTGTAATATATTTTTTTGCTCGTTGTGGTGCACAGAATTTAATCCCTGAATTTGGTACAAATCTGATAATGCTGACGTTAATGTCTATGGTTGAGGGCGCTATAGTGTTCACTTTTCAGGGGTGCACAGTGATTGGCTTTTTTGCTTGTCTTTGCTTGTCTCTATAAAATATGCGTCTCAGCCTCCCATTCATTTCAAAATCTTGAAATTTCAAGGGGGCGCTGTTGAATGAGGTCACTTTAGTCATTGTCGCGATGCCCATTTTATAAAATTTTTCGCTGGGCCAGTCGATCTGATACCCGGTTTGGGGGTCAAAAATGTGATCATATGTGGGGAAACAGAATAATAATAAGTAAGAAAACCCACGAAGAACAATAGCCCTCGCAAGTTACTACGATACTTGCACGGGCCAGTAAGAATAAGAATACCATCCTACAGTTGTAATGCACTTTACAGGCTTGTCCCCTCAAAGCACTACACTGTTGTCATTATTCATTCACTGGGTGGTATGGGTGCTCGTATGATATGGGCAGCCACAGCTGCCCTGGGACAGACCCTCTGACTACCACCCATCACTCCACCACACATACTCACACATACTAGGCAATGTGGGTGAAGTGCCTTGGCTAAGGACACAACGACACCACTTGCCCAATGGGGAATCGATTCGCTGACCTTTGGATTGGTGGACCACTGCTTTAACCACTGAGCCTCTGTCACCCCATTGTCTGTCCACATCAGTGGTTGAGGGGTTGGATTTGTGAGGAGGGGAGATTACTGCCATGTACTGTCAGGCCAGAAGCTGGCACAGTGGTAGCATCTTGTGATGTTCGATAAGTAAACTATAGGGTCAAAAAGATGAAACACAACAGTCACATCAGCACAAAACAGTTTTTTACTGATAATGAAATGATTTCTGTCAGTCTGCCCCAGGGCAGCTGTGGCTACAGTAGTATCTTACCATCACTGAGGTGCTATATAAATGCAATGTTGTTGTTTTTTTAGATAAATGATTTGGCTGATCATTAGAAATGAGTGAATCTAAATTTCAGTTGAATTTGGATAAATTCCACAGCCTTACTATTAATGTCTGACAGCAACTGAAGAGAATAATCAAACCGCCCACCTCCATCTCCACATGAAATCAACAGTTTTATTTAAATTTGATTTCGTATATTTCATTTGCTTTGTGTATTGAAAGAGACAAAAGAATTACACTGGCTGTTTTTCAGTGGGAATGAGCTCATTAAGCACAGGGAGATTTCTGGGTCAAGAGCGGCGGCTACAGCTCGTAAACAGCAACTGAGAAATAAAGTCTGTCACAAGTTGCACACAGCGATATTTCACCAGGAATGAGCTGTGATCACTCTGGTCCCCCCACTACACAGGGATTAGTTTCATATGAGGAGGAAGCAGTGTGTGTTGCTTTGCCTGGAATGTTCCACAGTGAGGCTGCACACTAAACTAGCTTGCATTTAGTCAAATACAGGTGTTTTGTGTGCTGAAGAAATACATTGACAACATGTATTCTTGCTGATGGCTCGCTTGCCTCTACACAGATCTGACATGTAATTTGTTGGTGTCACCCTCCCTCCATTAATATACATTTAATGTCACACTGTGGAAAATTCTAAGCAAACCATGGAGACAAACAGGTGATGTACCCTCCACCTTAAATTAAATACTGCAACTTTATAATTCTGAAATATTCAGATTTATATCATATCGCTACCACAAACAACAAAAATACCTGTTGCTTAGAGTTTGAAATAGTATAGATCTTTAAAAGTTTATAAACAAAAACAGGCAGACGTGGTGTGGAACATAAAGCAATTTCTAAGAATATCACAAAATATGAAAAATGGATGGGGAAATGGCAAATGAAAACTATTCACCTATATTAAAGCCAGGTTTAAAGACATTTAAAATTGTGTTTTACGTTATTTGTTTGTTTAAGATTACATACAATTAAGCACACATTTTTTTAATGCTTTTACTGGACAAATAAGGTTTTACTGGACAAATAAAGAGGACATATTTTAATTCAGCGAACATATAACATATTTATCATCCTTTTATCTGAAAATGCTACATTTGCCAAAAACAATGTGTATTAGTATTTTGCATGTTTATAGAAAATTGTCATTGGGCTGAACACTGTACTATGGTTCATTTTTGTTTGCCTCCAGTCACCATCCATTCTGAAATTCTGAACATTCTGATGACAGAGCAATCTATACTATAACGCTTACTTACTTATTTATTGATTTCATTTAGTCAGCAAATTATTACAAATTATTAATACAGAATTAAACCAAGACCATAAAATCAAAAGCAGGATTAAATTTGGATAAACTAGAATAAAACAACAAGACTGAACAAGTACGGAATCAAAATGACACCACGATCCTAAAGGACTAAACAAAGGATTATTAACAAGACTAAACCAGGACTAAACAACACACGGATCGGGGGGGGGGGTGTACTGTGGGGCACAGCTGGAAGAGCTTTGCCGTGTTTTTCACTGGAGGCCTGTGTGCTGAAGTCATGGCTCCAAAACAGGTGTAACACATATCCCCATCCTCTCCACACACACGCACACACACACGCATACACACGCACACACACACACACACACACACATACGCACACACACACACACACATTCATTTTCTGGAGACTGAGCTTAACCTTTAACTATAGGCACTACTAGGGCTGAGCAACTTGGGAGTTGGAAAAAAATAATCTAATTGTGATTTTTAATATAGGATTTTATTTTTCAAAATACACTATTTACACTCATCCAGAAGAACTGAAAAGAAGACTTAAATCTGAACTGACAAACTAATACAAGATCATCATAATTTCAGAACATTGTACAGATATTTATATTTGTACACATATTTGTGTAGGATATTTTGAAATTACAATTAATCTTGCAGCCCTAGTCACTACTTTTCTAACCTTAAACTAAGCTTTTTAACCCATATCTCAACTTTAAATCATGTTTTTGATCTAATAATAAAGTTAAATAAATAATAATAATCCCCATGATGTGACGGTATGTACATTTTAGTCCCCACAATTTGATTAAAATCAGCCCCCACACAAAATATTTCCAAGCACAAAAAAAACACAATTTACCACACAGTGCCTCAATCCCAATATTCTTTGGTTTTGACTCACTGCAGTGTCAGTGCATGTTGTCTTATAGTTTTACATCACCATGCCTCATAATGTGACCTAGAAAATTCTTTAAAGGTCTTATATAACACAAAATTGACTCTTGTGAGCTTTAAATCATGTTATAATGTTGCTGCCTCATCAAAAACATACCTGGAGTTGTGTTTTGTTTCATTCACAAGTTTGAGAAATCCTTCATTAGTCTATATCGCCAAAGCTCAAAATGCTCTGTTTCACCTGATGTTTTCAAGTTAACAGCTATCTTTACTTCAGTAGTGATTTGCAATTTCAAGGCTTAAGTTATCCACATATGAAGGAATATGCCTAGCGAAGGAGTATAGAGTTTCAAAACACAGTGGATTATACAGAGAGGTACAGGCTCAATGTTGTGGTTGGTTTGCCTGTTTGACCGGGCCAGTGTGTCTTGCCTAATTGGGTAATATGTATGTAATGAGAAAAACTCAAACACATGCTCAGACTGCTCTTTGTTTTGTGTGTTGTGTTAAAATGTTGAAAACTTAATAAAATATGTTAAAAAAAAACAAAAAAAGCCCACAGTGGAGCATTTCCTGCATTACCACATGATATCACAAGGCTAACTGATTCAGTTTGAGAGAAGAAGCCTAAATATGCAGGGTTTGTGAATGATACAAAACAACATAAAGATGACATAGATCTGAAATATATATTTTAAGACAAAAAAAGCTGTCAGCAACAAAGCCACTCACACCATCACGAAAACCCATCCAACCCAACAACACGTATTGTGAGGAAAGAGCAGATTCAAGCAGCCAGTGAGCAGTGCAAACAGCCCAAACAGTCAAACAGTCAAACAGTCAAACAGTCAAACAGTCCTACCATGAGTGAGTGTCGGCTGGACAGCAGGCTTGAGCCATAACCAGACTCCAGAGAGGTCATAATGCCATTGTGTGCTCCTAGAAGACTGTGAACGTCACCATGTGCACTCAAGCCTGTAGAGGGCCCCACTGCATGGCTCCGCAACACATGGATGGCATCGTCCAAACGCTCCAGCCGGTCCTCAATACGTGTCTGCTGCAAAGCACACACACAACAGAGCTTGTGTTTGAATTTTTAAGAAGACATATTATTATATTTTGACAGCTAAATAGTTATAATCCATGACACAACTTGATCATTATTTTATAACCTGTACATTTTAAAACCCCCAAATGTAAAATAACTTAATAAAAGAAATACACTTTCTCCCTTTCAGGTTGGAAAATGATGGTGTCCAATGGGAGTCGGCATCACCGTAAATGTTGTCAGCCCTATATAAAGAGCTGCAGATGACACAAGGTCTCGTGAGACAACACTGAGACAAGACTGTGGACACATGAAAAAAATTTTCCAGAATTTTTTCCAGTTGTTTACACCTGGATTTGACAAAAAGAGTTAAGTGTTGGTGAGTTACATCTCTCATAGTTCCAAAAAGAAATGCTTGAATTGACACATTAAATAAAATATAAAATAAAATTTGATGTCAAAATTGGTAACTGAATCTCAAAATTTATATAACAGGAATTATGTCATAATCTGGTTTTGTCTCGTTCTCATATACACAATCTCATTTTGTCCCATCCCTACGTTAGTGGAAGAATTTTTTGTTTTTTTGTTTTAATTTGTGCCAAAATGGCACAGAGTGGAAACCTACATGTTTTACCAATAAAAAAAACCCAAAAAACTAGAGAACAGAGTAAATAAAGAACAGTGGGACTGTAACAGTGGAGGTGAAAACAGGTAGATCGGAGCAGTGGCATCTTAAACACAGGAGAATAAAGATTACTCAAACATCCAAATACAATTTTGAGTGAGTAAATGAGAAGGGAAGCAATTATAACATGATTAAAAGCTCTAAAAAGTCAATATTGCATTCTCCTTTAATACATGTACAGTGCAAATAGAGCTGGCACCTTTCCACTTTTTTATTATTATAAAAAATGTTAACTTATGATAATTTAAAAGTACACTATAACATTTCTGGTTAGGGGTCATCGGCTTGACTCACTTGGAGGTGTCACGGCTTTGTCAGAAATATTACACAGTACTACATAAAATCTATGCATTTATTGAAAAAAATATTTTTCCTGCATTCTAAACATGCCTCTCTATAGATCTGACCGGTAATTTGGGTGGTTGTACCCTCGTGTGACAGAAGCATTGAATGTACTACCACTGGGCATTTTAGGCAAAGCAGTAACATCTCCATGGAGGCAAACAGGTGGCAGACCTCTCCAGAAATGTTATGTACTGCACCTTTAAATAAGAATGTTGTGCTGTATGTAGCCTGTACCAGAGAGTGCAATGGCGTTTCATAGTTGGGTGAAGGTGCTCCTTGTCCTCCATTTCTTGACCAAGCAGCAGAACTGGGAGCTGCAGGACACAAACAATGAAAAGACACACTGAAAAGCACTCTCAGACACTTTTACTCTAAAATCATGACTTAGGGACAACAGTGCTTGAGGTGATAAAGCAGCTGTAAGACCACAACTGTTTGTAACTGCAGACTAAAAGGTTTGATCCCACCACCATCATTAGTAGTAGTACAAGTAAGCAGTAGTAGTAATATTAAAGAATAAATATATATAGATATATAGATATAGATGACTACATCACAACATATTTAAAAGATCATAAGCTGATATTGCATGTTTCCTTTAATATTGCTCTTTCTTATGGCAGTAATATTGTACCATTGGCCTCTGTATCTTGCCTGACTCTTCATTGTGTGCTAATTGTGGACTCTGTTTTTTTTGTTGTTTTTTTCCAATGAGCATGGGAGCAGCCTCAGACAAACCTCCTCTCACTCCAGCCCTCTGTTTTGGACAGTTTGTGTTCACACAGGCACATTTACATATGCTATTATCTAAGTACAGAGTAATAATTCACTCAGGTATGCTCATTCACTGGAGGTTTCATCTCTTTAATACATTTTCACACAACACCACAAAGGAGTTACGACTGCTATCATTGTAGGTGTTCATATAGAGATTTGTTTAAATCCCTCATTACCAATGGTCTATTCCACCTTTAGCTCCAGTCGCCTCTAGGGGTGGGTAATATGTATATGTGTGTAATATGCGTATGATAGTAATATGTATATGTTAGAAAGTACAGTCTTTAAGAGGTCACTAAAGCTACCTGCTGTTTAAGTTTACTCCTCACTGTGACTGGTTCAATCCACTGCTCACCCATTCAGAGCCTGACAGAAGTTGACCAATAGTAGGAATGGTGGCAAGTGTTGTGAATGTGTGTGAATCGGTGAGGGATTCCTTGGTGTAAATGTGACAATTTATCATTTAAAGACATTCTGCTGTGTCGAATAAAATGATGGCAAAAGCTCTCAAAACTGTTACAGATCTCTGTGTATCTATCTGTGACCCACACTACACTCACAAGACTGCACCTTACACCACAGGACTACATGGAAAGAAAGATACTAGGAATGTATATAATTATATAAAGACATATAAAATGTGTGGATCATGTGTTTAATATGTCTTTTCGCATATAAATATAAAAATATAATTTATTGGGTTCTTTTTAAAGACAATACCGTTGGACATCAATCAACCGATGAATAGACTAAATGACTAACGGCCTACAGTTAGGTGAAGTGTACTGGAACAGGGATCTTACCTGTAAGTGTGGGCGGAGATCCAACTGGGGTGGAAGGGTTTGACGAAAAACTATTGTTTGTGTGGTCTGGAGAATAAATCTGTCAATCAAGTAAGACACATACAACAGCAAAAACAACAATGATAATAAAAATAATAATAACACTAATTTGTGCATAAAACAATTTTGCATTACAAAGACAGGATTTATATAAGCAGAAATACACAAAGAGTGAGCAAATCAGTGAATACTTCCTGAAATATTTTGTTGTCATTCGACTTGCTTGGAAGATTCTGGGCATTTTGGATGAAAATGTGTACCATAATGGTGCATACTTGTATATTTTAGAGGGCTCCATAAAGCAAAACCTGTCTGTCAGTAGAGGCATATACCCAACCAGATGCTGTATACAGTTATTACAGTTACAGTTACAGTTACAATTACTATTAGTGTTGTAGTCAAGACTGCACTAATCGAGACCAAGACCTGTCCAAGACCACAGGGTCCTGAAACCAGAGCAAGACCAACAGACCAAGACAAGACCGAGACCACGGCCCATTGAGACCAAATCAAGACCACCTTTGTAATTATCTACATTTATTTGTATTCTACAGTTATTTGTCTTAAAATAAGCCAAACAAACTATACTGAACTGAAACACTCTGCTCCCCTTTTTTGGAAGCTCACAGTTTAAGAACCCCTTCTTTAAGCTGCCATGGGCTCTTTACAGAAAATGGCTCCAAAGTAAAGAAAGTGGGTATGAAAAGTGGATTCTAACCTGTTTTTTTCAGGAGTTACATTATCTTACTGGTTTTACAGTAGCTCCCAGCTGCTGCACATTTACCAAACCAAAAGCACATTGTTGGAGCCATTTTACACTTGTCTACCTCGTGCCACTGTGTGGCACTATTTGTAACTTGCTACGTAATTTGCTGCCCTATATAAGGGGGAGAAAATGTGCACACAGGTGTTGCACAGTGGAGGTATACAGTCTTTTGACCGTCGTCATCGTCGTGATCTATCGAGTGCCGAGTCTGTGTATTTTTGGATGGCTATGAGGTACGCCAATAAATATTGAGGAACACAGTATTTGGACTCTCTTTTTATGGAAGACACGCGTCTGAGACACCACACATGCTGCAGCCATAGCAGACCCTGCACAGGGCAAGTTTTGGCCGCTACACACATTGTGACAAACACATGTTTTCGTCCACTTATTAGGCAAATTTCAGCCTACATGTTGCAGTAGGTCTACTCTATACTGTAGCTCTGCTCTGTTGTTAACACTGTAGCATAAATTTGGATTTGTTTTAGCTTTGCGTTTCATCAGTGTTCACTGGCTCCAAACAGGCGCAGGCTGCAGTGAGGAGTCCCATACACTTGTGCAAGTTTATTGCTGACAGCAGTGGCCGTAATGAACTATGATCTCACTCGCAAAGTGTCAGACCTCAAATCTGACCGAAGACCGGGTCCAAGTGCATTCAAGACTAAGACAAGACCGAGTCCAAATGTGCTCTAGTCAGAGAAGAGACAGAACAGCAAAAAAATGGTCTTGAGGCCCGTCTTGAGATCATGGTCAGTCTCAAGTACTACAACACTAGTTATTTTTATGTATCAGTTTACATAAAAGATCTCTATAGTTTACACAACTTTGGACACAGGAATTAACACATTTTACAGAAAGCCAAACATGACATTGGCATGACTTCATGGCCCTTCCTGGTTGATAGGGCTGGTACATTGTAAGCATATTGGCATTATAGGTGTACTTACTGAAGCAAGTGCTTTTCCTAAGGCATCTCCAGTCTGAGAGCTGCTGGCTGCTCCACTCTGGGCACGATTCACTAAAACAGAGATCATCAGTTATAAACAAGTGATTGTTTCTGCTTTGGGGAACACACAGGAACTCTTTGGATTTCTTATGTTTACATGGAAAGTTCATCATTTAATGTTGTCAAGACATAGTGTCATGAGTCAAGGGGTGAGCACCCTTAGTTTTTAAGCTTAAAGTTTAGGACAACTCTGTGAAAATACTATCGTCTACTGGGATAAACATAAACACTTTTAATTGTATTACTCCTAATAAATATAGTACTTGTCAAAAATGAATGGACTAAAAGTGTGTTTTAAGGGGAGTATAAAATTCATCACTGGTGATCATGCTCATGAATTATAGGTCAATTTCACATACTTAAAGATTCTGTATTATATCTTTAAGACGAGTGTCAACTGGATTGATACGCAATACCAACAAATCCATTGACACACACACACACACCCCACATACACACACACATACACACACACGCACATACACCCCCCCACATACACACACACATACACACACACACACACACACACACACGCACACACACACACACACACACACACACACACACACACATACACACACACATACACACACACACACACGCACACACACACACACACACACATACATAAAATGAAACTGAAGCTTTGGAGTGGTATTTATAAGTCTACATGGCAGAAGCCCTACCCATGACTGAGTCTGTTCCATTGGTGTTGGTGGTGCAGGATGCTGTGCTGTAGTGACTGCCCCCCCCAGATGAGCCTCCCCCCCTGTGGAAGCTCGTCATGGGGGGCAGACTGGAGCTGAGGTCTGCTGAAGAGTGAGGCGGGTAATTCTGACAACAAGCAAAAACAATTAATGCATTCTGTGTGGTTAATTGATTCTAAAAACACTATTAACTGCTATAGTGGATTTGAAAAGTGCATATTTCAAATTACTGATCAAATAAAATAATCATTGCTCACCAATCTGTCATGGGGGTGGATCCCACAATAGGAGGAGCTTTGAGACGGAGTGTGGCCAGAGGTACCTCCCCCAATCATATTACCATGGTAACCACCATGCTGGGACATACTGCTACTGCTGCTGCTGCTCCAGGGGTCATTGCTGTGGTGGCCATCTGATAAGAATACAACAGTCAAATCATCTGCCAGCATTTCTCGCAACAGTGTTTACTAGAGAGTTGTGTCCATACCTGGCATAAAAAAGGAACCGGGGAAGCCAGAGCTGGGTGGCTTTGAGCTGGGATATCCCGGTGAGTCCCTGTTGTAGTCGGCTGAACCGGCAGAGGGGGCATACACCTGCACACATAATACACACCTTTAATCATCTGATAACAGAATGGTGGAAATGCAAAGAATGTTACGCAATGTGCTGACTGTCCTTGATCATCTGAACAGAAGAGAAAAAAGAGACACATACACATGGTGGAGGCACAGAGTTTTACATAAAGCACAAACCACTGGCTCACCACATCTGGACACTCCTCTGGACATCAGCCCTAGGACTTGGAAGTATACCTGTCTGTGTGTATGGGGGTGTATGGTTGTGTGAATCCGGCAGGTAGAGTGACTCGGCATGCGAGATCAGTTTTAATGGATTGTTAAGTGCTTTATAGTTTGCGTGATTGAATGACCCTCCAGGTGGGGTAGTGGGGGTCTGAGTGAGGTTCCATATTTGTAAGGGGCTTTATAGTCTCGCTGTATCCAGCTGCATAAAACACTCCGGTCAGAGCGAAGCATCCAGTGCCACAAGCAGACTCCCAGAGACATGGCTGCATTCCATTCCACTGCAGAGTGTAGCGTGTGAACACTGAACCATGAGAAGCTAACACATGCACAGCAGCTGTCACTCTCTCTCTATGTCACATGATCCTCAGCTGGCCTTTGACCCATGTCCTGTAAAATCACACAATGTACAATAGCAAAAGATAAACAACAAACAGAGCTTTGTGACAAACATACCTTAGCATCAGGCAAAACTGTGACAAGTGGTGACTACAGTTTTGTTTTGGATGAAAAGGATGGAGAGGTACAGATAGTCCTGACTGTTCTAAAGACAGACAGATGGTCACTGACTATTCCACAGACAGACGGGACTATTCCACAGACCTGCAAACAGATTTAAAATACTAATACTAACACTAACACTAATACTAATACTAATACTAATACTAATACTACTGTATTGTTCCACATACAGATAGATGGGGGCTGTTCAGAGACAAATTATGATTATATGTGTGTGTGTGTGTGTGTGTGTGTCTGTACATTGTCACGTATATGTATTGCCTTTAATGACTTTGTTGCATCACTCAAAGCTAGAACATACTTACAAACATACAAGTTTTAAATTTCAAATTAGTCTGGATCTGAATCATTGTGGGTTAAACTGTATGCATTTTCAATGTGCTGTTCCTCCCCCTCCCCTCCTGCTGTGTACACAGAGTGAACAGTCTTTATTCCAAACAGATGTGGGACTGAAGCGCTCTCACGACACTCGGCTGCACCTGTGCCGGCCGCTGCATTCCTCTCTTTCTCAATCACTTCTCACTCATGGCTTCCGCTTTCCACAGCCTCTCTAAACACCAGCACTTAGCTCCATGTGAAGCACTCCAGGACTGAGGCTGGCTCTTCAACACTGCACACACTTCAAAGGTATGTTTCCAATTATACTACCTGACACTGAAGTGAATTGTTACTGAACCATGTTGTTGATCTAATAATAAAAGATTTCTGTCATGGGGACTTGATTTGTGTCCCCATAAAAGGGGCAGGTCCCCATGATGTGAGTGTGTACAGATTTTTGTCCCCACAGTGTAATTAATACCCACCAACACACCCATTTCTGTGCATCTGTAAAATGTCTCTGCTGGAAAAGCCCACATTTCCTCACTGTGTGGAACTTTATCCTCTTGAATGTGAATGTAGAATCAAACATGTAACCCACTGCTTCCTTATAATATAAGTCTCCTATACATTTGCAAGAAAGATTTGTTTTATAGCCAATAAAAACATTTAAATAGTTTTGTCATTATAGTCAATATAAATTATACAAAATTCCATGCACCCATCACAAAAACGTAGATTTAGTAGGGCACTGGTGCTAACCCACAATCCCTCAGTGTGGGGGCTGACTGCTCTTCACTTGTGGCCCATTTGAAGTGTGAGCCAGTGCAGGGGCAGACGGGAACTCCTCCCAGCTGCGAGCCGCCTTTGAGTTGCACTTTTACACAAGCCTGAGCTCTCTGAAGGTTCATTACAGCTCCCATTGGAAACACATGCAGCGGGCTACAGCACAGCGGAAGAACCCCAAACCTATCCTAATGCAGACCAGATGGAGTCACAGCCACTAATGGAGAACACGTGAGCAAAGTAAAAATCAGACTGCAAATGAAAAGACACCCTTTCAATGCATGCAATGCCCTCTTTATTGAATATGTATTTGAACAAGTAAGAATAGATATAATACAGAACAGAACCACTGAACTACTCTCCAACTACTGAGGAAAGTAACAAATGCGACACTGTTATGAAAAGTCTTCTATTTTTGCTGCTTATGGTTTGCTGTTTATGGTTCCAAAAAAAGGAAAGTCAGCTGCATGTGTATGTATGTAAGGGCTGTCAAAAGTATCCATTCCAAAATATATTAATCAATACTATTAAAGTCGCATTACACAAATAATCCTCTCTTCAATAGTGTTTTGAGTTTTTTGATTTTGAGCTATATCAGAACAAGTAAGTTTGGATTTTACAGTGCATTATTCAGTTACTCCACACTCAGTGATGGTAAGCTACTATTGAAGACTGACAGAAGCAAGGCCACCAATCTGTGCCTCCTATCACCAACAGTCACTCACAGACCACATCCATACTAGCCAATGTGGGTGAAGTGTCCTGTTTAAGGACACAACAACAGTTATTGGACAAAGTAGAGCACATAAACTAAAATGGACCATGGACCATTATGGAAATTACCTTGACAACATAAGGCATTACAGAGACCTAAATAAAAACATATAAACTGACATGATAATATAAAATAAAAATAATAATTCTCAGATCCAAGAAAGAGTGGTTTTGGAAATGTTAAACGTTGTGATAACACAATGGGGAAGTGAGCCTGCCAATCTCCACCAGTGGCCCCTCTGACCAACAACATTCACTGACCACATTCACACACAGCGACAATGAAATGTCTTAGACACGGACACACTGACAATATGCACTGAACCTGGAGTTGGTGGGCTGAGCCTCTGCACCCCCATAGGCTTTGGGGTTTTGATATGTAGTTTGAAAACAAATACTGATTTATTTTGCAGATAACACAAGGGTATGGGAATTGGACAACAGTTACACCTTAAATGGTAAATTTTAATGGTAAATGGTTACATATTTATATAGCGCTTTTTCACCTTCAAGGCACTCAAAGCACTTGATGTGTATCCATTTGCATGCACATCATACACACCAACCACACACAACAGCAAGAACATTAGAATCACAGGTAGAACCACATTTCATGTCCTTCCTACCCCCACTTTTAAGCAACCTAAAAGTTTAGTATATACTTTAAGAACATAACGTAAGCCCTGACAACCACAGCACATCAAATTCATACAGACTCATGCATTCTGTTGATGAAATAGATCAAAGATCTGCAGCCATGTCCTTTCCCTCTCTGGAGTTCTTCTTATATTTTACATATTTTGAAATAGTTGCAGGGCTTTCATGTGTATGTGCGTATGAGAAGTGATTGAGATTCTCCATACTCTATGTATGTTCCCAATAAGTAGAGGAAAGAAGCAAATATTTGCTTTTAATGTTGAAGCAGAGTCTGGCAGCCATCAAGGAGCCTATCATCTGGCTGGGGCCTGGTTGTCGTGACAACGGCGGGGCCCCAAGCCAGAGCTGGGACAGGAGTGATAGAAGATGGCCGCCGCGGGATGCCTTGGCCGCGGGTTGCTCTGAGCCCCATTGCCGAAGCGATGTTGGCACACGGCCTGGTTCTGTCGCTAAGTGTCAAAGCCGTTGTTATGGCAACAACAGGATCCAAGCTAGGGTGCAAGGGTGGAACTGAAGACAGCAAACAGTCAACACTTTCATTACACTGAGGCATCAAAAGGGGATAAGGCGTAACATTCAGACAATTTCAGTACACTAGATTTCAAATCTAAGTGTTTTAATGTAAACAGTAAATTACTAACTTTTTTTAATTGCATCTCTCACAGTCTCATGTTATTTTAATGAAATATATTTATCAGAGACCTAAACCACAACATATGTCTCCTCACATGGGTTCACAACATTTTAGCCAAGAGAAAACATTTTTTAAAACACCATTCAAAAAAGGCAAGCACAATAACCAACATTCACGAAAGCAAATTATTCTTATGCAGACTGTAGTGTACTACAGACTAGGGCCCGACCGATATGGATTTTGTTGTGGCCGATATGAAACCGATAAAATGGGAGTTGGCGCTGCCGATAGCCGATATATTTAGTGATGTAAAAATTCACTGTAAATCTTGAATTATAAAAAAAACACTTAGGTTTGGCTCTGGTGGATTTTAAATTGGGTTTATTTAAGCAAAATGTATTGTTGTTCTGCCTTTTTATGTCATATTTACAAACAGTAGATCGGACTAATGGTATTTTTGCATAACATTCTAGCTACTAGTGATGGGTATTCCAGTTCTTTTTAGAGAACCGGCTCTTTTGACTTGGCTCACTAAAAGCAGCTGGCTCTTTCGACTCCCGAGTGACTCTTCAGATTGTTTTGTTGCAAGCAGGACTAAACCAGGTCTAAACCAAGACTGAAAAAGGACTAAACTAGGACTAAAACAAATCTAAACCATGTGTAAAACAGGACTAATCCAAAACTGAACCAGGACTGAGTGTCAGGACTCTGTATCTGTCTCCTTCTCTCAAGCCCAAGATTTGTCCTGGTTTATTTATTTTATGCTGAACTACAGTCAAATATGCACATTTTTCTATCCTATGCACATGTATATTTCTGAAAGTTTCGTTTTCAGCCACTGCTGCTGTCAAACTACCACGAGTCTGCACGCGATGTGTGAGAAAAGAAGTGAGAGAAAGAGAAAACAAGGCTCCCAATAAGGAGCAGGCTCCCGTTGTTTGCTTCAGAGAGTCGGCTCTAAGAGCCGCTTCGATCGCGACCGACAAATCACTACTAGCTAGTAAAGAAACTACCGCTATTAGCCTTTGGCCGTAAATGCTGCGCGCCGCAGTAATTAATTATATGCATAATTGTTGATCATTCACACGTCTATTCACAGCTC